GTAAGGCCCTATTAAACAGTACTGAAAATTTTTTTTTTGCCCTGGCCAGTTTGGCTCAGTGGTTGAGTGTTGGCCTGTGGGCCAGAGAGTCCCAGGTTTGGTTCCTTCCTGCCAGGGACATGTACCACACACACACACACACACACACAAATTTTTTAGCTTGGCTGGTGTGGCTCAGTGTTTGAGCATCGACCCATGCACCAAGAGGTTGCCGGTTTGATTCCTGGTCAGGGCACATGCCCAGGTTGTGGGCCAAATCCCCAGTAGGGGGCATGCAGGAAGCAGCCAATCAATGTTCTCTCTCATTGATGTTTCTATCTCTCTCCCTCTCCCTTCTTTTCTCTCTAAAATCAATAAAGAAAAAAAAATGTTTTTTTAATTTTCAGCAAAGGCAGGAGGAAACTGTAAGAAAAAGACATTACTGACATGAAGGGAAGAATTAAAGAATAAAAGAACAAAACTTGAGCCCTGGCCGGTTTGGCTCAGCGGTTAGAGCGTCGGCCTGCGGTCCTGAGAGACCCAGGTTCGGTTCCCGCTAAGGGCACGTACCTCGGTTGCAGTTTGTCCCCGGCCCTGGTCGGTTGTGCGGGTGGCAGCCACTCGATGTGTCCCTTTCACATCGATGTTTCTCTCTCTCTGTTCCTCTCTCTCCCTCCCACTCTACCTGAACAAAAAATGGAAAAATGTCCTCAGGTGAGGATAAAAAAAAAAAAAAAAAGAACAAAACTTGAAAAGTAGAACCAAAACCTCTTCCCTTACAGTTCAGCTTTCTAGACCTTACGTTCTCATTAGATTTCTAGGGTAACATCCCCATGGTCCAGCCACCCACTTTCCATAAACGTGGTGTCCCCTACCTTCCCCACGGACACGGGGGAGATTGCCAATGGTAAAACACTGATGTAACTCAGGTGTTACATAGCAATACATGCCCCTACCTGGTGTTCTCATTCCATATGAAATGACTTTTCTTTAAATTCCCTATATCAAACCTGTCATTAAAACATGTTAACTGAAAGTTCGCTTGATAAATCCTCAAAATGAGCAGGGTTAAAAAAGGTCTATTTATCCTATTTATTACACCTATTGATATCATGCTGCCTCTGCACAGGCAAAGTCATAACCGACCCACACAAACAGAGTCACTGGAGCAAATCCAACGAGGAAAAAGCTGTTTTGTATTGATCCCAGAGCATTCAACTAAGTCCTATAAGTGACGGATCCTAATTTCCAATGTAGAAAAATTCCGAACAGCTGATATTTGAGTCATAATCAGCTAAATGAAGAAATATCAAAACCTCTTTATACACATAAAGAGAAATTAAGTCTCTCACTTCAAAAAGGCACCCTCGATAGCATACTTATTTCTAGACCATACCAAGAAAGCCTGTGTATATCTCTATATTAGGTACTTTTATAAACGACACAATTTTTATAAGAAAAAATTAAGTATTTTCATTATTTTTAAAAGGTACATAGAGTACCCAAAGGAAGTCTCTAAATGAGACCACCAAATTCTATGTGTAACTATCGAAATTCCTTGGGTCAACAATTATTTGCTTTAAACTTTCTGTTAAAGTAGAAAAGTCCACAGCAGTTTCTATAGGACATCAGGATTGAAATAATAATAATAATAAAGCTGACTTGATGTGAACACAGCTATTTTCATTTATCTCCCTGGGAAGACAGATAAAAATGCTTAAATCCCAGAAATGGTAACAAAATGGGGCTGTCAATTCAATTGGTGCTAAGCACTAATTATCTGCAACTAAACGTTAATTTCTTTGCTTCCAGTTCAGAAATCTATCTTTAATAATTTTCTTCATTAGCTAGGAAGATCCATATGCCTTAACCCAAATGTTTGCCTTTTTTCTGGGGTAGTTTTTTTTTTTTCTTTCTAATGTTACCATAACATTCAGTATAATACAAAGGAGAACATGATGATTTACAAAACCATGGTTATCATTAATAATAATGCACAAAATAGAAATACAGATTTCCCTGCTATGTAGGAGAAACACTATGCTAAGCCTGGCACATGAATTTTACTGCTTCCAGGAGTACTTTTAATGTTCCTGTTTTCTTTGCAGTAGAAATAGATAGCTGGAGACAATTTTAGATTCTAATCCTGTCTCTAAGTGGGGCCTTTCATACTCAAAAGAACCAAATTCTCCTTTAGATAAATAAAACATGTTTTATCCCATTATCATTCCTGTCCTTCAATTAGTTGAGGTGCAACTTACATGTCACACAGACATTTTAAACCACAGAAATTTGTCCATCCCCCCCAAAGCTTTTATAAAATTACCTGACTTAAACCTGAAAATTTTGTCCTGGCCGGTTTGGCTCAGTGGTTACAACATCGGCCTATGTACCAGAGTCATGGGTCCAGTTCCCGGTCAAGGGTACTTACCTTGGTTTCAGGTTCAATGCCCAGCTCAGGTCAGGGTTGTGAAGCTGGCAAACCAATCGATGGGTGTCTCTCATGTCAATGATTCTTTCTCTCTCCCTCTCCTTCCCACTTTTAAAGAATCAATGGGAAGAATATCCTCAGGTGAAGATTAAAAAATAAATAGCCCAACCAGAGTGGCTCAGTGGCTGAGCATCAACCCATGCACCAAGAGGTCACCGATTTGATTCCCGGTGAGGGCATATGCCTGGATTGTGGGCCGAATCCCCAGTGGGGGGCATGCAGGAGGCAGCCAATCAATGTTCTCTCTCATCAATGTTTCTATCTCACTCTCCCTCCCTTCCTCTTTCTAAAAACCAATAAAAAAATTTTTTAATAAGTAAATAAACTTGAAAATCCTGCTAATTCCAAAACCAATGTAAAGTAGAATGAAACATAAAATATAAAAGTTGAACAAAAGTACCACATATTTAGTAATTGCAAATGTATTTATTACAATTTACAGATTAGTTAAATTATATACAAATAGAATTTTACTATAAAATCACAATAAATTGGTAACATTTTACTCATTGGATCTGTACAAGCAAATTCAGTTTTCTAGTCCCTTCAATTCACCTTCCTTAAATTATAAAAAAATAAAATCTGATAGGTTTGATTTCAAGTTAAAGATTAAGAGCTGTTATTACATTTCAACACTCAGAAAGGGAAATTTTACCTCTCTGTACAAAACCTTTCCATATGCTACGCTGATACTTAAAGCACCATTGCTAGACTTTAAATGCATAAAATGTTTGATTAAAATTTCCAAGGATGTTCTTTTTTAAGATGGTGGAGGTTTAACTTTGTTCTAACAACTAGGATTGGGATGAAACTAACGAGAATTGTTCTCTCCAGTCCAACTTAAAAATGATCCCTCTGTCCTTCTCACCACCCTCTGATCACTTCTTTTAAAGGAGGGTAGTAAATGGGAGTATTGTTAACCAAGCTGTTACTCATTTGGTAGTGAGGTTGAGGTTGGAATCCCAAGAGAACAATTTCCCACAATCCAATTAATGTAAAATATCCTTATTTCCAAATAGGCAGGGGTGCCAGATGTCAGAACACAAAATGCAACCTAAATCTGACATAAAATAATATACTTCATTCCGGTTTTAAAAGAAAGCCTATGCATTTTCTAAAAGCCTTTTTCAAGGCAAAATCATGCCTTCTTTGCACCTGACACAGCTGGTGCCTGGAACCAGTCTGCTTCCATAGTGTTCTGCATTCTCTCTGATTACCTAAAGTGGAGGAGCACAAAACACTTTGACTAAGGGCTCTGCACAAGTTTGACAAACTTTTATGTTGTTGCACTCTCAATGTGCTTATGTATAAATACATATATTTACACTACAGGCAGTTCTTAGAGCAAACAAGACAGAAATAAAATAATGACCAGGTAGATTATTAACTGAGGTAGTAACCCTGCAAGCACCTGTGATGATAAATTGCCCATACACTGAAACAAGTTTGAAATTAAGAGGTCATCTATTCTACTCATGTTTTCCATTACCTGTGACAGGAGGCACGTGCAGTAAAAAACTGACCATGAAGGAGCTGGTTAACACTCCCTCAGCCTAAAAGATGCACACCATGTAGAGCTATCTAAATAAACCAAGCTCAACCAGTCATTGCAAAAACTTGGATTCAAAAGCAAACTTTGGGCTACAGATATTTAGACTTTCTAGCTGTTAAATCTATAGTTCTATCCTTTCCTGAAAGTACAGGCCCTGCTTCTCTCATTATTAAAATAGAACACAATAAACCTGGATACTGACTGAAGTCTCTATTTTGCACTTCAAACTGGAAAATTCAGAACTGCCCATTTCCAAGCTTACAGTGCCACCCTGACAGGTTTTAAAAGTGACACAGTGCTGAGGCCTAACATTAATAACACTGGCTTTCTGTTGAGAGTATATACAACAAAACCAAATTGCTCTGATGTCTCCTATCTTCTTCCTAGGAAAATTCTAGGCTTTTAATTAAAAAATAAATAAATGCAAGTGATGTAATTATTACTTTCCGGTGTCTTTTACAACAATTTCTATCAGTTAAGAGATACAAAGAACCATTTAACTGGAAATGACAATAATATATACAGGACCCTTACCAAAAAAGTGTGCACAGAAATTACATATATTAGATGTTAAAATTTGGCAGAAAGATGTAGCTTTCCCAAAGTAAGAGTACCACACACATCGATTTTGTGGCAGTCCTTGGAAATATTTTAGGTAGAACTTAGCCTAGAAATAAAAAACCCCCACACATTTTCAGCCCAAGCAATTCTCAGCCAGAAAGAAAAAAGTGACACAAGGTAATATACCTTAAGTTGGTAGCATATACAAGATTATTTTCTTAGCCTTAAGGTAGAAAGGTCAAATCACTGAAATAAGAAAATACAGAGAAAACATAAAAGCCCACTAGTTTCAGAAAGTTGGAGGGAAAAACCCTGGCCGGTGTGACTCAGTTGGAGCACCATTCTGTACACCAAAAGGAGGCAGGCTCAATTCCCAGTCAGGGCACATACCTAGGTTTTGGATTCAATCCCTGGTTGGGGTGCATATAGGAGGCAACTCGTCGATGTTTCTCCCCCTCTCTAAAATTAATGGGGGGAAATTTTTTTTAAAATACTGTAGGGGAAAAATAAAAAGAGCCCTAAGTTTTTAGACAGGTACACATAATTTAAATTAAAATGGAAAATGGACTTTGAACCCTATATTGTTTCCCAAAAAAATAAGTTTTGAAAGTGCAAACTTACACCTTAAAAGGTTCCCTTTTCATCTTAACAAGCAAACAACACCCAAAAGCACATCTGATTAAATAAACAGGGAGGATTAGAAATCACACTATCTCATCCTTCATTATCTGGGCTCAGCTTCAAACCTGGACATTTCTGAGTGGGATATGTTGCAAAACAATATTAAACAAAGTTGCTGAATCCAAGTTACATATTCTCTAAAAAAAAAAATGTCAAAGGACAGCTGCCAACTTTTGTTTTAAAAGAAACCTCTGAAGTACGGGTTAGTGTATGCTAGGGCCAGAGGTTATTAAATTTGAACATGGCTTGAAAACATCAAGTCCTTTGAAGCATGTTTCCTGGAGTCTATGAAACATTCTTTCTCTGTGCTCAAATGTCAAGCAATATCCGATAGCGTCTTCTGTTTCTTGAATTCGTTTCTGGAACCTGCATCCATCCCGTGCAAATTCTTCCCATGGTCCTTTACGATCCTCATCACCACTTAGATAATACTCAGTAACTTCTTCAAGGAAGGTTACCTATGAAGACAAAGATTAACTTTAATCACTTTCTAAGATCCTATAATCATTGAGGTAATTAACCCTTTATGCTACTAACTCTAAGAATATCAAACATATTACAGGAATATTTGGTCTCAGCTATAAAAGGAAGTTTAAAAAAAGGAAGGAATTCTGACTGACTAGATGGCATCTGAATAAATAACAGTGGGCATCTTGTCATCTAACCTCTCCCCTTGTGGCTTTTTATGTTAACACAATGAATCTAGATAGGGAACTATGATTTTCCTGATGCTATTAATCTTTACTTTTTAAAAATCCTTAGTGAAATACAGTCCTGTAATACTCTTCTTCCAAAATGACAAATGTCTCCAAACAAAAGGTTTCAGAAATATATATATTTGGAAGGCAATGCTTTTATTATAACACAAAAACTTTAACAAAGTCTTCACTTATTTCTATTCTTCCTTTTTAAAAGAACTTTCACTTGTCACTGCTTTCCATTTTTGAATCATGAACATGTAGTATTATTCATATATTATTACTCTTGTAAGCAGAATACAGAAGAGGAATTTACTTAATAAACAAAGTGCAACAAAATTAACTTCTCTTTAAAGCTGTTACTATAAGAGATTGTGTACTTAAGATAAAAATCCTCCTTGTATTCCTCCTCAATACGCTATCACTACATATACATGAAATTGTGAATATTATCATACATGTGATCACATGTAATGAGTGACAGTCCCTGTTAATCTCTATTTAATTTCGAATATAGAAGTTTCTTTGTAAGATATCCAATTCCAAAAGTAAACAGATATTTGCTTTTAAAGTATGTTCAATAGTTACATCAGCTAATCCCACTGTGGCCGACTACTTTCATTCCCTTTACATCAGGCCATCAAATGCTCCTGAGGACAATTAGTAGGTAGGTATGTAAACCCTTACTGCATATTGCATTCTAGTGTCACTTATTCATTGTCACTAAGATAAATAATAACATTTACATAGTGTTTACCACATACCAGGCTCTTTTCAAAGCACTTTACTATTTTTCTCTCATTTAATCCTCATATCAACCCTATAGGGTACTATTATCATCTCTACAGATAAGGAAACAGACATAGAGAAGTTAACTGACTTGTTCAAATCATACAGCTTCTATGTGGTATAAACAGGATTCAAACCCTAGTCTGGCTCCACAATTGTACTATGTTATGCATTTTAAACTCTTAGATCTAAGAGTTTCATTTCAAGAATTAAACCCCGCTGGTGTCGCTCAGTGGATTGAGCACTGTCAGCATTGTCCCAGGGACCCAAAAGTCCTGGTTTGATTCTCCATCCCCAGTAGGGGGCATGCAGGAGAAAACCAATAGATGTCTCTCTCCCCTCTTCTCTAAAAAAAGCAATGAAAACATTTTTTTAAAAAAGAATTAGGTACAACTGATTATTTTCCACATACCTAAGGAATGGCAAGTAATCAAAAGGCTGCCAAGTAATTTAACCATATTTTAGACATAATCTTTTATAAATGTTGTTTCTAGTTCAATCAATAGTCTCCAACATACTTGACTCATTCACATTTTTACTCAATGAGCAGGCTAAAATGAGACATGCAACTAGACAGCTATCCCTGAACAGTAAGAGCTACCATTTAAAGGCAAAGCAATTAATTATGAGTTTACTCATCTCATTTGAATCATGCAATAACTCATATGGTATTATTATCATTATTATTACTATTATTCCCACCAGATAAATGAGTTATTCAAGGCCATGAGAGGACAAGTTATTTCCCAGGTTTGGTTGCATTCCCAAATCTCTTGGCCCTAACCACTCAGAAGTAGGGAACACAGGTATCAAGTGGTCATTCGATTGCCAGACTGTTTTCTTACCTAATTGACTAATAGGTCATTGAGTCAGGGGTCCCTTAGAAAGTTAGAGAAAAGCTCTATTATGATGACACTTACAGAAGTGTAAACTCAAATTTAATTCAACGTGACTTATTTTGTATCAACAGGTAAGACATAAGATTACCACATTTAAAGATACTTTCCACCCCAGGAAATGTCTCGTTTCAAAGTATTAAACGAGACATTTAGAACCAACGGGTGAGTGTACTCTCCAATGGAAACTCCTTCATGCTACAAAATCTGAGATAAGCCCTGGCCGGTTTGGCTCAGCGGTTAGAGCGTCGGCCTGCGGTCCTGAGAGACCCGGGTTCGGTTCCCGCTAAGGGCATGTACCTCGGTTGCAGTTTGTCCCCGGCCCTGGTCGGTTGTGCGGGTGGCAGCCACTCGATGTGTTCCTTTCACATCGATGTTTCTCTCTCTCTCTCTGTTCCTCTCTCTCCCTCCCACTCTACCTGAACAAAAAATGGAAAAATGTCCTCGGGTGAGGATTAAAAAAAAAAAAAAAAAAATCTGAGATAAAAAATAATGCATCCACTCCCTTTCTGTCCAAGTAAAGGTACAGGTAACTAAAGAAACTTTTCCTCTACAATAAAAGATATCCTGTGTGTTTGGAGAGGATTTCGCTCCAATTAATAACTTTAGCTGAAAGATAAAATGCTCCATAAAGTTTTAAGACTAGCCTGGGAATAGGAAGCAACTACTTAAGGTAAATTAAGTAAGTGATCATCATTGTTTTACATGATTATTAACCTGTAATTGGCTAATGATAACTAGTATTGCATTCTTAAAGGCAGTATTATTTCCTGTATTGTTTTTAAACAGTGATCAAAAGCATGTACATGTCACAGAGTTTTCAATACTGAAATTATTTCCTTTCATGGCAAAAATAAAATAAAAAGATAAATCTGACTTGCTCCTTGGTACCATCATCCCTCCAGGTTCAAATGGACAGGAATGAAGACACTTATTATGACATACCACATTTAACATTTTAAAACTCTATGGCTATACTAGGACCTTACCAATCTCCAAAAAAATTTAATCATGGACACACAAGGTTTAATTTTTCTGTTCCTTAAAAAAGAGTGAAAAGTTGAAGCTTGTAGAGTATATAGCTCAGAGTTGCCAACTCAAACAAAAGTGGCACTTTCCTGCTAACATCTGTAGACTGTCATCTCCTATTTGGACAGGAACAACACTCTAGTTAGGGGAAAAAGGGATTATTATTTCTCAATCCAAGGATATGGATTTAAGAAGCTTAGAGGCCTTCTTCAAACATATGCACTATTATGCCTCCAGAAAAGTCATGCTGCTATATTAACAATATCAAAACAGTCTGTACAAATTATCAGGCAAGTTAAAGGAAACAAACAAACAAACCTTTTTTCTCTTGATATGCGTGTGTCTTTTTTCAGAAAGAGTCCCACCCTGCACCATGTCTGAACATTCACTGTCTCGGCTCCCTAACAGTTGCACCTTACAGGAAAGTAAGGTGTGAGACTCAGAAATGGCCACAGTGGGCTCAGATGGCCTCGCTGAGTCATGACAGCCTTTCCAATTTTTCCCTGATGATTGAAAAGGCGCCTTAAAATTTAAAAGGTTGTAGGGATCATCCGAATTACAGAAAGAGTTCCACAGTTTGAGACTCTCTGCTTCATCTGCACTAGATTCCCAGTCATCATCTTCCCCAGAATTATGGTCAGGGGACTCAGGAAGGCTTCTAGTCTGGACAAAATTCTCTAGATCAGACTTGTCAGACGAATCCTTCTCTGAGTCGGAAGGCTCTCCAGGAACAATTCTGGCAGCAGTCTGAATAGTTGCTTTAAAGTTCTGGGGATTATAAGGATCTACACTGTAGAAAGAGTTCCAAAGGTGAAGCCCTTCGGAGTCTTGTTCAAGGTCTGATTCTGAGAGCGAGCTATCACTATCAAAACCATCATCCTCAGCGTCCTCATTCCAATCCTCATTTTCTGACTCAGAACTTGTTTCGAGGTCACTGCATGCACCTCCCAAAATGTAATCTATCAATTTGTTACTACACGCTGGTCTGGCAGAAATGGGAAGGTCATCTTCTATGTCTGAGGTGTCAACTACATTTATTTGGTCCTCCCCAGGCACTCTTTCCATAGGTACCTCACAAGATGGGCAGCTTTCCGAAGGGTCCTGTTTTTCCAAAGCAAGAGGAACCTCTTGAGTCAATTCTATTTTTTCTTCCGCGGGTTCCTGGGCAGTTCCAGGAATGGCTCCAGCAGGGGGAACATCATGTGCCGGATTATCTCTGCAGGGCTTGAGATCCATCCGGAGAAGGCTGTGTTCCTCCTCCAGGCTGTGGTAGCCATGATCTTGGTCTTGGGTGGGTAACTCTTGCCCTTTGCTAGCCTGCTGAAGGAATTCCAGCCGTTTCATGCGAACATGGTGAATTTCTGGCAGGCCTTCTCTAGAAAGAGGCGGACATTCCTGCGAGGAGGAGCAAGTGACTTCTGCACTCAGTGGCTGCGGATGAGAAGAGTCCTCGGGCAGACAGCTGCTCTCTGGGCTTAGTGTCTGGAAATCAACTCGCTCGCCACTTCTGACGACGTTCTGATAGCTAAGTTCTACCGGCGAAAGGCAGTCTAGATAAGAGTGGTTCAGCAAATAGGGGACAGCGTTGTAATTGCTTAAGCGATAAATGTTCCGAGGCCCGACGGAGGAAGGGCCAAGTTCGCGGTCAGAGAAGAACCTGCCTTGAAGGCTACTCTGCAGCAGCTCCACTCCCCACAGCTGCCGCTCCAAGAGAAAAGCGTGGGCCACAGAGTCCAAGGCTCTTCCCTTGGCTTTTAGGTCGGGGGGCGAGAATGAACAGTGGCTGCCCCCCTCCAGCCAGTCCAGAAGACTGGCAGCTGAGTCGACCGAGGGGTCCAGCCGCAGCGAACTCAGAGATTTCTGCGCCGCCGCGGCGGCCAGGTCCTCCCGAGCCTTCAGGGCTCGCGGGGCGCTGAAGCCTCCAGCAAAATCTAGCCATCTGGTCTGAATCATCCCACCGAACAGCTGGCTCCAAATCAGCAGCTTCTGAAGCAGGGTGGGGAGCGGCGCGAAGAGCTGGGAAAGCAGCTTCACCCAGGAGCTAGTGCGAGCCTCAGGCCGGGGAGAGGAGCCCGGTTTGAGGTCCCCGGGGTGCTCTGCCGAGCGCCGAGGGAAGAAGGGCAGCCGGAACAGGGGGCCCGCCTGGGGCGCCGGCCGTCCCCGCGGCAAGCCTGCTCCGGGCTCCATCGCCCCCTCTTGGCAGTGTCTCAGCGCGGTGCGCGGGCGCGGCGGCTGGAGCTCGGACGGGAGCCGGCGAGGCCTACACGGTCTGGGCCTCGCCTCGCGCCAGAGTCGGCGCCCTGGGCCGGTCCCCGGGGCAGCAGGAGGGCCACTGAGGGCAGTGGCTTCGGCCGCGGGCAGCGGACCACAGTCGGGAAAGGCTGACGCAGAAGGTGGCGGCGGCGGCGACACCCATCCCGGCGGGAAGGAGACGTCCTAATGCGCTGGCGGCCTCTCCACCATACAGAGGCCTCTCGCGGCGGCGGCACGACTTCCCACCAGAAACGGACCGTTAGAAAGCCCCTCGCAGCGCGCCCCCGGAGGGCTGGGCGGCCCAGCAGACGGGCGCAGGGACAAACCCAGCTCAAAATGGCCGCAGGACCAGCGCCGAGGCCGGACACCCCAGGCAACCGGATGAAGACCAGTACGGCGGCCGATACGCCCTCCACCAGTCCCACGCCACTGAACGTCACTCGCAGAGCCCAGCGGGCGGGCCCTTCCGCGTTCTTCCCGGCGGCGGCTGATTGGCCTCAGCCAGGTCCCTGTCGGCTTCCTTACCCTCGGTAGACCCGGCATGCACGCCGGAGGTTGCATCAGCCAGGCCCGGACTCTGCGCGTGCGCACTTGCTTTTCCGTAGTCTCCTAGGAGACCGCCCTGTGGGCGAAAGGGCGCGTTTTCAGATAACCCCAGAGTTCCCTGGGGCCCTTTTAAAGGCCTGATGCACGCACAAGTGTGCATACTTATCTGAGACTTACATGTATCAGGGTTCAGTGTTGTTCAGTGCTAAATAGATCATCACTTGCGATCTGACTTTAATAAGAGTTGGGCAATGCTGTGTAAATGCACCTCTAACACAGTGTTAAGACACGAATAATGTGGAGTGAAGAATAACAAGTGAAAAATGAATCATTCTTATGCAGGCATTCCTGCCCCCTCGATTTTAGTATTTCCAAGTCATTCTTTATCTTTGCCTGGAATCTAGATTTGAGGTTTTTCAGCATCCAACCTACATACATCCCCCACGAAAATGTGAATTCTTGTTTCTCAAGTGGGTCCCTGTTCATTAGACTGTCCCTTTTCAGTGGGGCAAACTCAAGTTACAGAGGAAAGAAACAGTCTCTAGAACTGTTTAATCTCTTTAATGCTTCCCAGCAGGCAACAAATTCAAATCATATTTATATCCTAAACCCCCAGAACTACAGGCTACAACATCCAAAAGAGAAAGCACAGACCATTATCCTTTCAAACAATTTTTGTCTGATAATTTTAGCTGCTATATTTGATTCTCTTTGTGAGTTTGGTCTTGGTTCATTTTCTCATTCCTACTAAAACTTTTTTTTTTTTCCTTTATTGATTTTAGAGAGAGATAGAAACATCGATGAGAGAGAACATCAATCAGTTGCCTCCTGCATGCCCCGCACTGGGGATCAGGCCCACAACCTGGCCATGTGTCCTGGCCAGGGATCAAACTGGCAACCTCTTGGTGCATGGGTCAACGCTCAGCCACACCTGCTGGACCTGCTAAAACATTTTAATCCATGCCCCTAAAGTCAAGTATCTATTACAGAGGGAGGTTAGAACCTTTTAGAAGTCAGGAGAAACCAGAAGCTCCTCCTGCTTCATTGGGATGGCTCAACAAACAGCTACTTATTTCTAGAAAATTAAGAGGTCCTCAATTTCTATGGTTTTACCCTATTATATTGTACATATCTCTGGAAATATCTTATTCTCAATCCTAAGAACTGCAGAAAGATGAGTTAGTAATAGGAATCAGTTCAATAATAGAAAAGAAAAAAATCCAAATATGCATATTAACAACTCAGAAGCCTCAGTTGCTTCTACTGTAAAGTAAGGCTAATAATTCTGACCTGGGCCCCGAGGCTAGGGCGACTAGATTCCATTCTTATGTAGGCCCCTTGGCTAAGGCAACTAAATGACTCCATTTTTATCATCAATGGACCTTCCTCAATATTTTTCCAATAATAGGTTAATTACCCCTAGAAGTAAAGGAATTTTGTCTAAGGTTATAGTTGCCCCACGTGTTGGGAGGTATTTGCAGTTTCCCAGACTGCAAATCATGAGCCCAGTGACTAATGCTAATTTTGACGTCTGTAATCGCTGTCACACCCACTATTGTACCAGTTCCCAGAGGGGGCAGGGGCAAAAGGGGGTTGGCACTTCTGTCTTTAAAATTAGAGGAGCAAGAAGAATCCGGGCTGAGGATCTGGGGAAGCTGGTGTAATGAAGTGTTCCTTTACAATTCGGCTGTGCGTCTCTGGTTATCTTGCTGACACATTACAACAATTCCTTTTTAAATGGGTAGATGAGAGAACTAAATTCTTAATATAGAACCTAGCCTAAATTGAGTAGGGGAGCAAACATCAGTTAATATTTGTTATTAGCTAATAATTGCTTCCCATTGCCTACAGAATAAAAACTCTATACAGATTTCTCTGACTACAGTTTTCCAACCTTCTCCCCAGTAACTTCCTTTCATGCATGTTATGTTCTAGGAATGTTAGACTTGCTTCATGCCTTTACTCATGCTGTTTTTCAGCCAAGAATCACCTCCTTTTTTACATACCTAGTCACATTTCAAGGTCCAACTCAAATGTCAACTCTTTGACGTCTTCGCTAATCTTCCCAGTCAGCACTTAATTCACTACACGATATGCTGCATACCTGTAAATGTTCTCTCTTGCTGGTCTCAGTTCCTTAAAGGCTGCCTCCCAATACCCTAGCACAGTGGTTCCCAAAGTACAGTCTGGGCACCCCTTTGGATCTCATTTTCAGACCCTTTCAGAGGATTCTCAAGGTCAAAAATATGTTCATAATAATACCAAGCTATTATTTTCCTTTAACTCTTATTCTCATGAGTGTACAGTGAACATGTATCTTCTAGACCTAGAGGGTGCATGGTATGTGACCTGGCAACACATTGCACAAGCAGATATGAGATTTCAGCTCTTTCATTAAGCCAGGTATATATATATATTTTTTTTAATCCTCATCCGAGGACATTTTTGCATTCATCTTCAGATAGAGCAGGAGGGAAAGAGAAAGGGAGAGAGAAACATCCAGGTTGCCACCCACACAACCCCAACCAGGGCCGGGGACAAATTGCAACTGAGGTACCTGCCCTTAGCGAGAACCAAACCCGGGTCTCTCTGGTCTGTGGGCCGATGCTCTAACCGCTGAGCAAAATCCATCAGGGCTTATTAAGCCAGATATTAAAGACATTGGGGAAATATGTAAAATGATGTCATTCTTCTTGCTAAACTTTTTTGTTTTGAAAAATAATCTTTTCATAAAAAATGTTATTTATGTTAACATGTAATGGGCTTATTCTTTTTAAATAAATAAATATTTTCCAATTCCTTAGTTTTGAGTTCTAAAACAGTAACTATCAATAGATAGAATCCACATAAACAAAAATTCTTTGGAGTCTTCGATTTTTTAAGAGTATAAAGGGGTCATAAGACCAAAAAGTTTAGGAACCACTAACCTAGCATGCTGACTGACATAATAAGTGACCAATATCCTGATATACCATGATTGCAGGTTCAATCCCTGGTCAGGGCACATACAAGAATCAACCAATGGCCTGACCAGTGTGGCTCAGGGGTTGAGCATCAACCCATGCACAAAGGGGTTGCCAGTTCGATTCCCGATCAGGGCACATGCCCAGGTTGTGGGCCAAATCCCCAGGGCCATGCAGGAGGTAGCCAATCGATGTTCTCTTTCATGGATGTTTCTGTCTCTCTCTCTCCCTCTCCCTTCCTCTCTCTCTAAAAAAAAAAAAAAAATTTTTTTTAAAAAGCTCATTCTTTAAAAAAAAGGTCAACCAATATACACATAAATAAGTGGAACAATAAATCGGTTTCCCTTTCTCTCTCTTTAAATAAATAAATATTTTAAAAAAGAAACTATTTAAAAATAAATAAATAATAAATGTTGAATAGAGGAGTAATAATGCTTTTATTTTTTAATTAATTTATTTGAAGAGTAATAATTCTTTTAAATAATAGCATCATCCTTATGACCAAGCAACTTGCATTCCAGTCTCAACTTTGTCACTAACACTACATGATTCTGAAAAAAAATTCTTAAAACTTTCTTGAATGGCCCTGGTCAGTTTGGCTCAGCGGTTAGAGCGTCGGCCTGCGGTCCGGAGAGACCCAGGTTCGGTTCCCGCTAAGGGCACGTACTTCGGTTGCAGTTTGTCCCCGGCCCTGGTTGGTCGTGCGGGTGGCAGCCACTCGATGTGTCCCTTCATGTCGACGTTTCTCTCTCTCTCTCTCCCTCCCACTCTATCTGAACAAAAAATGAAAAAATATCCTCGGGTGAGGATAAAAAAAAAAAAAAAAAAAAAAAAAAAAAAAACTTTCTTGAATGGACTCCCCTTTTCCCATCTAGTCATTGGATACATAATTTTATTTTCTTAAAGGGGGAAAAATGCAATCAGAAAGGATTGGAAAGCTATAAAAACATGTGACCGCCTTGTCAGTCTTGACAGGTAAATGAAGCGTGAACCAGCCTCCTCCAGCCTGCTGTCAACTAGAGGATAGAGGCAGAGCGGCTCTGCACACAAAGATAACGTGTTGCCGCGGCTGTGTACATACTGGTGAAGACAAGAAGTCCTTGGACTGGCAAGCTGACTGGCACTTTAGCAGAAGATAATTTAAACCTCAATTAATTATGTTTATTTAAAAAAATTTTGCTGGGCCTGAGGTAAAGGGTGTATGGCTTTTGACTTCATTTTTCAGACTTAGTACCAACTCCAAAATCTTATTTCCAAGCATTCCACACTCTGGACACCATCTCCTATCTTTCTAATTCACGGCCCTGGTATCATATTTCATGACTTATAAACCCCCAGAAACCTCAAAGTCATTGCCATTACCACTGTTTTGTGATTCAGCCTCCTTTACTTCCCTCCTTATTGAGCATAAATTCCATGACCCAACTACCCTCTTGCAAAGAGGGCATTCATTCTCTTGCCATTCTCCTACTCCAACATTCTTCTCTGGCAAAAATCCAGCCTTAGTTGAACCCACCTACCCACTTACTCTGAGCCTACAGCCTTGCAGCTAATCTGTGCTGGAGAAAAACATTCAACTATACTGACACACTTCATATTTGTTTTTTGTTTTTTTAATCCTCATCCGAGGACATTTTTCCATTTTTTGTACAGACAGAGTGGGAGGGAGAGAGAGGAAGAGAGAGAGAGGGAAACATCGATGTGAAAAGGACACATCGAGTGGCTGCCACCCGCACGACCAACCAGGGCCGGGGACAAACTGCAACCAATGTACGTGCCCTTAGCGGGAACCGAACCCGGGTCTCTCCGGACTGCAGGCGGACGCTCTAACCGCTGAGCCAAACTGGCCAGGGCTACACTTCATATTTGTGATCACAAATTTTATCAATGCCAGGCACTCCTACAAATATCCATATCCAAAGTAGCTTTGTTTCTCCTATACTGAGACTATTTCACGTTTCTTTCTTTCTTTCTTTTTCTTTTTATCCTCAGATAGAGAGGGGGGAAGAGAGAGAGAGAAACATCAATGTGAGAGAGACACATCGAGTGGTTGCCACCCTCAAGACCCCAACCAGGGCCTGAGACAAATTGCAACGGCGGTACATGCCCTTAGCAGGAACCGAACCCGGGACTCTGTGGTCCGTGGGCAAACGCTCAAACCACTGAGCCAGCGTGCTCATAAACACACATTCTCAACTTATTATCACACCTCTTACTTCACTGAGAAAATAAATGCAATTGGACATAAATAACCTCACCTTTCCATCACCAAATTAAACAACCCATCTATCTGCATCTGGACCCACACACTCTGCTTTCAATCCCATTACAAGCAAAGGAGCTTCCTGGATCCTATTTCTTCACGGTCTATACATGGAATTCTGGCCTCCCTTATCCTTCTTTTCTGTATAATTTTCTCTCTCAAACTACTAGAGCACTCATAGTAACATAGGTTAACAACACTTATCTTTTTTTGTTTTGTTTTGTTGTTAATCCTCACCGGAGGATATTTTTTCCTTGATTTTTTTAGATAGAGTGGAAGGGAGGGAGGAAGGGAGGGAGAGATAGAGAAAAAAACATAGATGTGAGAGAGACACATGGACTGGATCAAGCCTGCAACTGAGGTATGTGCCCTTGACCGGGAATCAAACTCAAGACCCTTCAGTCTGTGGGCCGACGCTCTAACTGATGAGCCAAACCGGCCAAGGCAACATCACCTATCTTAAAAAAAACTCTCTCGAGATACATGCCTCTCCAAGTTTCTGTACCACTACAGCAAAATTTGTCAGGAGTTACCCATGCTGATGGTCTCCACTTTCTCATAACTTATTCCAATGTGGCTTTCATTCCTTCCACTGATTCAAACAGATCTTAGCAGAGTCACCAAGAACATTTTTCCAAACCGTTCTCTGTTATGGGTTGAATTGTACTACCCTAAATGATGCCCTAATCCCCTGATTACAGTGTCCAGTACCTGGGAATGTGACCTTACTTGGAAATAAGGTCTTTGCAAGTTAAAATGAGGTCATTAGGGTGGGCCCTAATTCAGTATGACTATGTCCTTACAGAAAGGGAAAATTGGTTGAGCGTCAAACCCATGCACCAAGAGGTCATGGGTTCGACTCCCGGTCAGGGCACGTGCCCAGGTGGTGGGCCAAATCCCAACTGCAGGAGGCAGCCAACCGATGTTCTTTCTCTCTTATCGATGTTTCTCTCTCTCTCTCCCTCCCACTCTATCTGAACAAAAAATGGAAAAGTCCTCGAGTGAGGATTAAATAAATAAATAAATAAAGAGAAAATTTGGACCTAGACAAACATGCGTGCACACACAGGGAGGACCCCATGTGAACATGAAGGCAGAGACTGGGGTGATGTGTCTACAAGCCAGGAATGCCACAGATTGCCCGCAAACCACCAGAACCTACGAAGAGGCGTGGAACAGATTCCCCTTCTTAATCCTCAGAAGGAATTAACCCTGAGAATACCTTGATCTTGGATGTCCACACTCCAGAACTGTGAGAAAAGAAACTTCTGTTGTTTAAGCTCCCCAGTCTGCGGTACTTTTTAGGACAGCCCTAAGATACTGACAATACTTTAGGCTCCCATGACACCAATTTCTTGGTTTCCCTACAATTTCAGTGGCTCCTCCTCCTAATGTTGGCCTGCATCAGAGCTCAGTCCACCCTTGTCTTTTTTTCCAGCCTCTCTAATCTAGGTGATCTCATCCAGTTCCATGGCATTAAATGACACCTAAGTGCTGAGGGCTTGCCTCTCTACACTCCAGACTGACCTCTCCTTTTTCCACTTTGTCCCTGAGACACTGCACTGCGATTACTTATGTCCATGTCTGCTGCCCTAGTTGGACTGAACTCCTTGGGAACAGGACCCACACCTTTGTCATCTTAGTAGCCAGAGCCTGGTGCCTTGCCTGACCCGGAGAAGGCCGCCAGCAGACAACTCACACAAGCCCCAGACCACACAACTCCCTCAGAGCTTAAAATGCTGCCTTACTTTTAAGCTTTCAGAGCAAATTTTTGTCCCCCAAATCGAAGTAAATTGGGTGACTTCATTAAAAAAAAAAATTTTTTTTTCTTTATTGATTTTAGAGAGTAAGGGAGAGGGAGAGACAGGAACTTCGATGAGAGAGAACATCAAATGGCCGCCTCCTGCATGCCCCCACTGGGGACTGGGCCACAACCCGGGCATGTGCCCTGACTGAGAATTAAACCGTGACCTCCTGGTGCATGGGTCGATGCTCAACCACTGAGCCACACAGGCTGGGTGGGTGACTTCACTTTTGCCACCTCTCTTTGAACCCAGAGAACCCGGCGTCCTGGGCTTCTTTTCTCTCCTACCTAGGCAACTCCCCAGCATTCTCATTTTCACTCCCTCGGGGTGGTTCAGGTTTCTACACCATGCGGCCAAGAAATCTCCTTGAACCAAGACCCTTGCCAGATTCAAGTTCTGACTCCGAAAGTGTCCCCTGGGACTTGTCCAGCACTGCAGTGACACCACAGAACCACTCGGAAACACTGTTTACTACTGAAAACCCCTTGGAAGCTCCCCAGAATTTCCCAGCGTGAAATATGACTCTCACTGGAGTAAACTTCTGGGTAAAATGCTTGAACAAAGGTCACATCGCCTCATCTTCCATTTGGGGGAAGTTCAACTCTGGGCTACTGTTCTTCTCTCAAGACTTAATAGTTGCAAAGCAGCTCAAGAGTTTCCATTTCCTCTCTCGTAAGATGAGGTTGGTTAAACAGCACGAGGCAGTAAACTTGTTAAATATAGAGGATTGTCTTAATTTTAACCTTCAGCCTGGTACTTGGTACAGGACCTGGTGCACAACTCAAGGCCTGCACGCCTTGTGAGTGGACGCCTGCTAGGTGAAGTAGGTGGCGCTGGTAAGCACAGCAAATGTCCCGTGACAGAATGAATGAATGAGCTGTGTTTACTTTCCAGGAGAGTGATAATGAGAAATGACATCGCATATATTAAGACACTATGAAAACTAACATTCTATACCAATTTAAGGGATTGTATTTAACATAGCCTAGGAGGAGCAGCACAAGATTTGGAATCAAATAAACTTGCGTTCAAATTCCAGATCCAAGACTGACTGGCTGGGTCCTCGGGCAAATTATTTAATCCCAATGAGCTTCAGTTTCTTCATCTGTAAAATGGGGCTAATGACACTCACCCGTTGTATCAAGTTGTGAGGCTGTATTTAGCTGACGAATGGAAAACGTCTGTCTGTGCAGTGCACCAGTGTATGTAACAGTTGCCATTTATAAACCATTGGTATTATTTTCCTCTTGTATGCCAGACATCTAAACCGTTAAACATCAACCAATCTTGAAAAAATGATAGTTTTGTTTTTCTCAAATGTCACTTTATTAGAAAATACAATTCCGGAGAATGTAGGAGACACAAGGACATCTGGAAAGTGGGTAAAATACACAGACCTCTGTAAATCAGGGGCATGGAGGGTCAAAATAAAATGAGCTACAGGCAAAAAGCCAGTAGCGCATCTATGGTCCATTCATCTGGAGAAGTCCACTCCTGTTCCCCACTTCCTAGCCCCTCCCCACAGCAGCCAGCTTTATCCTTGACATTTCTGATTTAAAAGACAAGTTCAAACTTCCTGGTTGCCCTATGGTTTTAATGAATGGAGCTTTTTTTCTCCAGTTGCGGAATGAGTCAGAAGTTCTGATCCTTGGAACTGGGGAGGAAGCTGCAGAGGGACAGACATTTCGCACAGTATCCCCATTAACTCCGTTCCCCAAACACAAGGCACATCCAGCCAATTCTAGTTTAAAACATTAATATCAAACTCAAAGTCTCTCCCTCTTTTTTTCAAGGAGGATAACGCTTTGGAGTAAAGCGCAAGAGTAAATTTCAAATCCAAGTGGTAGAAAATGAGGAGTATTAAGAGATGATAAACCCAGTCTCTCCCTCCCAGCTCCAGGGGATCAATCACTGTTCCGATCCAGCCTCCTTGAGAGCAAAGAAAAACACTAGGGAAAAAAACAAGTTTTGACAGGACCCCATACCCCTGTCCTTCAGATAGAGCATCCCTTTGGCTCCAGACTAAATAGGTTTATGGCCCCACAGAATCAGAAATTCTTATAAAAACTGACAGAAACGAAGTTTGGGAGGGAAGCAGCATAAAGAGCGGTGGGTTGTGGGAAAAGCCTCCCAGGACTACCCAGCAGGCAGCCACACTGGCATCTGCAGCCTAGACCCCCCATCCCAGGGCTCAAATGACCTTGGGCAAAAAAAATCAGGGCCCAAGGCAGCCTTTTATCCCACAGAGAAAAACGAAGGAAGGGACCTTTGGGGAAGCAGCCCCAGCACGTTCACAGGGACCAGATGGCCCCCCGAAAGCGAGAGAATGGAGGAGTAGAAGATGTATTCAGGGCAAGACCTAGCAAAGTGGGGGAAGATGGGAGGAAACCCTCCTCCCAAAAGAGCACAGGTCCCTGAATAGGTCCTTTGCGGAACCCCGGAAGAAAGGCCCTTCCTTACAAACGTAGGTATCACATCGCTCTCCTTTGGAGGCAAAATCAGAAAGGCCCGGAAGCACAGGCCTCAGTCTGGCACACACAGCCCTCCCTGCCCCTCCCCACCTGCCCTCAGAGACTGGGGGGTGCGGCTTTAGCTGAGGACCCACTGGGCCCCTCCCCAAATAATTCCTATAGAGAGTAAAACAATACACAAACACACACACACTTAGGGAGAAGTCCAATAAGAACCTTAATCATATAAAAAGTCCAAACAGTCTTCCTTTTTGACTTCTGAGGCACATGCAAGTCCCTTCTCACAAGGCTTCCTCTCCAGTGAGGACAACATTACTATTTCATTTTTTAAAAATTAAAGTAAAACCTGCCTTAGAGTTTCAGTCTGCTCTTCCCGACAGCCTGCCCTGCAGATTTTGGACTTGCTTTGCTAGCTCCTGCCATCAATATGCAGATCTACAGGAATCTCCAAAACAAGCATCAAGAAAAACAAATTTGAGGACAGATTGATGAAGCTCTTAGAAATGAAACAAAGCAAGTTAACTGAACAGGCAAGTGAAGAGCTTAGTTTCCCTAGAGATTTAAAACCGAATCAAACAAAAATGGATGTTCAGACATAAACATTATCTCAAGCATGTCTAGACCCATTAAGAGAGAATCACAATACTTCAAAACTACTCTGTTGAAACTCAGAGTGAATGAACTCTCCAGAATGAAAATGGATTATATATTGGAAAAATACAAGCAACTTCACCTAGAAGAAGTAGAGTGTAGAAAGTCATTGGGAATAAAATTAAACAAGACAAATGAGCAGCTGAGAGACGTCTGCATGAAACTTCTAAAGGAACAAGAAAACAGATTATTTAGGAACCTTAAACTTGAGACCAGTCCTAGACATGCCTGGTGTTGATTTTAATAAGAAAATAATTAATTAAAAAAATAAAATAAAATAAAAAAATAAAAGTAAAGATATCCACCCACCCTCCCCTAAAACGCTACTTCATATAGTCCACCCAACACACCCCAAACCAGGCATTGCTCCCTTGACACAAGGTAAACTTAAAACTTTGCTGCAACCTCACAGCCTCCAAGGGGCTGCTCATTACAACCAACTCAAACTCAGACTGCAGAGGAGGGGATGGCAGAGAGCCTCTTACCCTCCCTGCCTCCTATCACTGAGGCCCCATCCACTTGGACATCAGGGAGGCCTGACAAGGGCCCTGCCTCTTCACAAGGAAAAGATAAGTCAAGCAGGAAGAGTCCTTTCCTGCAGCTCCACCACCAGTCTGGGCCCTGGGCCAGGGCTCCGCTGGACTCAGGAGGTCTCATGACTTCGAGATCCTAGTGCGAACCAGCCGGTCTTCTCCTGGGCCAGGTCTAGCTCTCGAAGGCGGATGTGCACCTCGCCGAGGAGAACGTTCTCCCAGAATCCTTGCTCACTCAGCACACTCAGCTGTAGTTCCCGCTGCTGCAGGTCTCCCTTGGGGATCCCATCATACACCAGCTGCAAATGAAGAGATTGGGAAGAGGGAAGTGGTGAGAGAGGGAACATGGAAGAGGGAGATGCTCAAGTCTGTGGTCACTTGATCTGCTGAGGCTACCACCACTCTATTTCCCCAACCAGAGTCCAAGGGAACAGAAAAGGCACACAGAGCCCAGCAGGTGTGGCTCAGTGGTTGAGCAACCACACACGCACTGAGAGGTCGCCAGTTCAATTTTCGGTCAGCACATGCCGAGGTTGTGGGCTCAATCCCCAGTGGGGGGCATGCAGGAGGTGGCCAATCAGTGTTCTCTCTCATCAATGTTTCTATCTCTCTCCCTTCCTCTCTCTCTAAAATCAATAAAGAAAAAAAAATTTAAAAAGAAGAAAAGGCACACAGAAACCAAGGGAAGCTTTAAAGAACTTTGCTCTTTGCTCAGCGTTCAAGTGGGGTCAGGGCAGGGACGGGACGCTTTTCAATTAGTGCCACTGATCGTTATCAGCAGAGGACCAGCAGGATCCTTCTCCCCACAGGACAGGGTCCAGGCCACACCTCACCTGTGGAAGCCCAACCCTAAGTGTCGGAAAACTTTCCTTGTAAAGGGCAAGACAGAAAACATGGCTTTCCAGGTCATCTAGTCTGGTTTATGTCCCAATTATTCAACCCTGCCACAGAGGATACTTAAAGAAATAGGTGTGGCCACATTCCAAAACAACTTTATTTACAAACCCCTGCCCTATCCCTGCATCTTCCCCACACACCATTTCATTGTAGGTGGGGTTGCAGGTTTTCCGGGCCACTTTGGTTTTCTTCTTAGTGGTTTTCTGAGGATCAGGAAGGAGGTAAATCTTCACATAGGGGTCAGGGTCATTTCCATCCTGGAGCAGCTGCTACAAAGGGAATGAAAAACAAAAAGAGATGGAGATTCTTGTATTTATCTCTTTATCATCATTCCTGTGCTCACACCCTGATCCAGGTTCTCATCTCCCACACCTGACTTCTTGCAATGCATAGTAATTTATTTTGCTTACTCCATTCTGATAAAAATATTCGGTCTACCATAATGTCAGGTGTCCTACTGAAATATCCATCGGATTGCCTATTATATCATTTATACTTTTATACGAATGCTCATGGCACACCATACTTGGTCTGTTTTGAATGAACCATCATATCCCCAGATATCTCCCTGCCTATGACAGTGTCTTTGTCTAATCTGTTATTTGATGCAAGTAATCCCCTAAGAGGAGAAATGATTCAGATTAAGTTCCTAGTTCACAGTCAACCAACTAGTGATTCCCTCAGCCTGATCCTTTTATTTATTTTTTTTATCCTCACCCGAGGACATTTTTTGAACCCGAGGACATTTTTTGATATTTTGTTCAGATAGAGTGGGAGGGAGCAAGAGAGAGAGACAGAGAGAGAGAGAGAGAGAGAGAGAAACATCAATGTGAAAGGAACACATCGACTGGTTGCCACCCACACAACCCAACCAGGGCCGGGGACAAACTGCAACCGAGGTACGTGCCCTTAGCGGGAACCGAACCTGGGTCTCTCTGGACCGCTGAGCCAAACCAGTCAGGGCTCAGCCTGATCCTTTTAAAATTTAAGTTAGATTTTATGCTTGTGGACCCCAAGAAGAAAGACTGATTTGATGTGAAACCCAAGAAAAATTTATCTGCTGAGATGGACTCCCCAGGGTCAACTGAGGGCCCAAATTTTATGAATAATAAGGGCCTGTGCGGCCGGTGTGGCTCAGTGGTTGAGCATCAACCCATGCACCAAGAGGTCGCCAGTTCGACTTGCGGTCAGGACACATGCCCAGGTTGGGGGCCAGATCACTAGTGGGGGGTGTGCAGGAGGTGGCCAATCGATGTTCTCGCTCATCAATGTTTCTATCTCTCTCTCCCTCTCACTTCCTCTCTCTGCAAAATCAATAAAGGAAAAAAAATTAAAAAAAAAAAAAAAAGAGCCTAAAGGCCATTTGTTGACATGGGCTTTTCACATACTCTGTACACCAGGAAGAACCTCAAGCTGAACTCTCAGCTTCCTGCCCTATGCCCTGAGTATTTACACAAGCTGAGTCAACTATTATAAGGGAGTTCCTGGTTTCATCTTTTGACTAAATGCACTAAGACCTGTCCCGTCCAGTCAGGACTGCTCCATAATGACCAAACAGAACTGAATAAGCTGGAAATCTCATTTGTATAAAATTGGGAACTTGGGCAGAAACTTTCCATATAAAAAAATAGCCCCACCCCCCATCCCTGGCTAGTGCGGCTCAGTTGGTTGGGTGTCCTCCAATGTAAAGGTTACTGATTTGATTTCTGGTCTGGGCTCAATCCCCAGTAGGGGGCGTGCAGGAGACAGCCCATAGATGTTCTATCCTTACATTAATGTTTCTCTCTCTCTTTCTCCCTTTTCTCTCTAAAAATCAATTTAAAAAATATTTTTAAAAATGATAGCTTCCCTTTTCTTGGTGGAGCACAATTTTTTAAAACTTAAAAAAAAAAAAAAGTTTTAGAGAGGGAGGAAGGGAGAGAAAGAAAAATCCATGTGAGACAGACACATTGATAAGCTGTCTTCTCCCATATAAAGCTGCAACTTAGGTATGTGCCCTGACCAGGAATCGAACCCACAACCTTCCTGTGCACACAGTGATGCTATAATCAACTGAGCCACACCGGGCAGGGCTTGGTGGTGATGATTTAGTTTGCTAACTGAATATGTATCTCCATAGTGACAGCTCTTTTTGCTCAAATAAATGCTTTTTAAAATCTTTATTACTCTCTAAAATTAATTTTGGTGTATATGCCCCTGCTCAAAACCCTCTCATGGGCCCTGGCCGGTTTGGCTCAGCGGTTGGAGCATCAGCCTGCGGACCAGAAAGTCCCAGGTTCGGTTCCCACTAGGGGCATGTACCAACAAACAAACAAACAAAAAAAACCCCTATGGTTCCTATCTCACTCAAGGTAAAAGCCACAGTCTTGACTATATATACCCTCTAGTCAGCTGTGGCCTCCCCAACCTCATCTACTCCTCCTCTCCCCTTTGTTCCACAGGCTTCAGCCACGAGGGCCCCTTGCAGTTCCCCACATACCCCAGCAGGTTCGGTTCCTGGCTTTTGGATTTAACTGGACCCTCTGTCTGGAACATTCCTCCCTCAGACAAATATGCATGCCCCTCCCACCTCCTTCCATCTTTGCTCAAATACCTCCTCATTAATGAGGGCTTCCCTGACTACTCCATGCAAAACCGCCTCTATCCGTATTCCACCACTGTTTCTCTCCTTTATTTCTTCTTCTTTTCCTTCTGCTTTATTTCTTGCCAGAGCACTTGTCATGTATTTGTCTGCTTACCTCTTCCTACTGGAATTTGAGCTCCCTAAGGCAAGGATTTTGTTTTGTTTACCCTGTACCCAGAGCTGATGTAGCAGTGCCTGATTCATAGTAAGCACTAGTTGAACATTTGTTGAATAAATGAATGAATGATGTTGTAAGAGTAAAACCCAGGTTTCTTTGATTCCAAAGCTCATAGTCCTTCTGCCACATACCAATGCCCCAACCTACAAAAATCTAGCACACGGCAAGTATTCCATTAGCGTTCCCTTCCCTTTCTACTCTCAATCTTCTTAAAATCATACCAAAAATTTTAGTAATTATATACCGCCTTGATTATGCTCCAAGATGGTCATATGGCTGCCCATCTCTACAATCAGATAAAAAACACCTTGGGCCTCTCCTTATTATAATCACCCTAATTACCATAATAATATTTTGTGTGCATTATCTCATTTAATGTCCATAACAACACTGTGAAGTAGATACTAATATTATCTTCAATTTAATGAGGCTCAGGGTACCTAGGCTACTTGCCAAAGACCACAGGTGGTAAGAAGTTGTGTCTAGTATTGCTTGGTCATACCCCATGCCTGGCACACTAGCAGACCCATTGGTGGATACCCAGAAACCTTGAGGTTACATTCACGAAATAGGGGCAGAGCAGGTCTGAACAATCAGAAAAGCACTAGGAGAAAGAGAAAGAATCAAATGAGAACTGTGCATACACTTACCAAGTCCCGAATATGCATCACCATGATGAAGAGTTTATTGTTTTTGTAGGAGATGGACAGCTTCACCTCCCCTCCCACCTTCCCCACTGGACGAGCCCAAGTGCCATCTGTAGGGACATAGGAAACAGAGAAAGGTCACAAGGCCAGCCATGTCCCCATCTGGTTCCAGGCAGATGTTTGTTTTCCTTTGACCCCCACTCCCCAACAGTATCTTCATGTTAGGTCCCTGATACCCCCTGGGGGACCCAGCAAGTGGCATCTGTGAACATGATTTAGAGTTGGGGTGGGATGGGTCTATCCAATTTATGTAATCACCAACTGACTATCCAGTCCCTGGGGAACCCGTACAAAGAGCAATGGACCCCACAGCCTAAGTGGGAAACCAGATTCTCTAACCTGTAAGCAAACGAACAGAGAATAAAAAAAAAAAAGAGAGAGAGAACTGGAAAGAGGTGGGGGCAGAAGTTACCCTTGGGAATGGTTCAGAGGGATGAGCAGAAATGTCACAGACAAAGTGAAAGGGGCAGGAGAGAATAATAGAATAATAGAGAACTAGTCATAGGGGGGCACTAGCCATAGTTACAAGAAGTGTTAAAAATCCTTACTCTGTTAATCATGATTGTTTTTTTCTGATTAAAGAAAGCACATTCTGACCTGGCTGGGAGTTGTACACCCTGGGAGTTTACCTGAGGAATGCTGTCCATTCTCCTAACCTGAGAACAAGGGGATCTGCTTGACATCATGGAAAGATTAACAACCTAGCCCTGGCTCTTTTGGCTCAGTGGTTAGAGGGTCAGTCCAAGGACCAACCGGTAACGGGTTTGATTCCCAGTCAAGGGCACATACCTGGATTACAGGTTCCATCCCCAGCCCCAGTTTGGGGTCCTGCGGGGGGCAGCCAGTCCATGTGTCTCTCTCACATCATTGTTTCTCTCTCTTACTCTCCCTCCCTCCCTCCCTTCCATTCTATCTAAAAATCATTGGAAAAATATCCTCCGGTGAGGATTAACACAAAGAGGAAACAAAGATTAACAACCTTGTTACTGGAGCACTGGAACCCTGGAGGCGATGCATTGGTGACTATCCTTTGCAACCCCCAGCCGGCATCCCTACCCCTTGCCTGTAATCACCAGTCCCCATTCCTTCCCCCGGCTGTAACCATACCATTTTACCCAGTCTTATTCCTTTTTGCCTACCTGCCTTTTTTCAAGTAGTCTTTGTCTTTCTACCCTATTTAATTATTTTTTATTTATTTTATTTTAAAAATATTTTTCTCTTTATTGATTTTAGAGAGAGGAAGGGAGAGGGGGAGAGAGAGAGAAACATCGATGAGAGAGAACATCGACTGGCCATCTCCTACATGCCCCCAACTAGGGACTGGGCCCACAACCTGGGCATGTGCCCTGACCGAGAACTGAACCTGCAACCTCTTGGTGCATGGATTGACGCTTAACCACCGGGCCACGCCAGCCGGGCTGTCTTTCTACCCTATTTAAGCAACTGGCTAAGAAGGGAGGTTAGAGCAGATTTTTCAGGGATGACCCACTGCTCTCCCTTACTGCCGGCATTATTGGAATAAATGCTCATATATGATTCAACCTCTGCTTAACTGGCTCAAGTAGTGACAGGCGGCCCAGACCCATTCGCTGCCCAGTTGCAAAGGCGGTGTACCTGAGGACTTGGGAGCCAGGCTGGTGCTCGCAGCCTTCTCATCCCGGGGCAGAGGGTGGAAGAAGGTATACACCAAATCACACTGGAATGGAATCAGAGAACAGGGTGGTTCTTCAATGAGTGAAGAACTTCAATAAGTTCTTCAATAAGACAGTGGCCCAGTAGAAAAATAAAAGGGACAGTTCCAGATTAAAAGGGATTTCTGAAACGTAACAATCAAGTGTAATATGCAGAATATAGAATTATATTTAAGCTATGACCACTATAAAACTGTAAAAGTCATATCTGCCTATGGACAAATAGGGAGAAAACATGGAAATGGCTAGATGATTTGGTAGGGTGATGGGTCTGATCGCTGTTTTTGTGTTTTTATGTGGATGAAAGGGGGCCATATACTAAACCGGACAAGCTTACCTCGCCTGCCAAGCAGCCTTACAAACTCAGAGACCTAAAGTAACCACATAGGATGGGCTGAAATGAAAACTTTCTAACTAAAAGCAGTTTCGTGTCCTGGGCTGGTATCTTTCTTGACAAAGGTCATTCTTTACCTTAATTTGACCCTGACTCTTATCCTTTTGCATTTAAGACAACATACCTTTGGAATGTCAAGGTGATGTCCTTTTCCAACCCCTCAGGGTAGAATTTCCCACCAGACCAGAGCCCCTTCTTGTTATTATCATGTTAATTTGTTAACTATCCGATACCCACCAAAGTAAAGGAAGTATGTGGTCTATTGTACTTTTTATCTAATCCCAGAGATACCCCCCTGCTTTTCTTTCTTCTCCTGTCTCCCTAGTCTATCACCAGTGAATTTCATGTAACCCCTTCCACCTCCTCCTTTCATTTTAATGTGGTTCAAAACTGCCATTCTCTGAGGTATTTTCTCAATCCTTGGCCCAAATAAACTGATAAAATTCTTACAGGTTTGGACATTTCTTATGTTGACAATAATAAATTATAAAAACAAATTATAATACCGTTTATTAAAATAAAATTTAAGTGGTGTTAAGAAACAGCAGATCCAAAGACCAAAAAAAAAGACTCAATTGCATTTTCTTTTTTAAAGATAAAAGCTTTGGCCTTTACCAAAAAGGAGGAGGTAGAAGCTCAGGAATGTGAGTCAATCAATCTGGAACGTCCTGATCAACACTAGTGACGCACAGTACTCCTGTGGTGCCCACTCACACCATGTTACCCTTACCTGACACAAGCTTTCCTTTTCTTCTGCTAATAACTTTCTTGTCCCACCCAGTTTCTATCCAGAAAAACCGTCCATTCTGTACAACTTCTCAAAGCACCTATTTACTAGATGGGATGCTGCTGGATTCGTCAATGCTCAATAACACCAATTTATTTGGTTGAATTTTTGTTTTTAACAGTGGATATGTAACCAAACCTACGCATGTAGCCTAGCAGTTAACCTAGCACAGATTAACCTTTATTTAGAGTTTATAACTCGATTAACCAGTAACTCCACTTGGATCACTCTACAATTTGTAAGGTTTTTGTATTGCTATATTGTAACTTGCCGAAAGCTTCACTGCTGGAACTGGTTTTCAGGAACAAGCCAGGATGTTTCCCAGGACCAGGTGAACCAGCTGAAACCACTTGGGAGGCTAGAGTAGGCTGAGGGACCCTCTGAACTTTCCTCATTGTAATTCTAAAATCTCTACCGGGGCAGAGATTTTCTGCCACTTCTGAACATGCTATGCATATACAATCTGGAATGTCCCCACCTGTACCTGCAATGATGAAGTCTACCGTGATGTTTATGCATGATTTCCCCCTAATAAAGATGGATTAGATACTTTGTTCCGGGACACGGTGCTCTGGGAACAATCCCCATGTGTCCCTGCTGCTGGCTCGCAATAAAGCTCCTTCTCATAAAATCATCAAGCAGTTCTCTTTTGTCCGGCAACGACAGAGCACTCGGACCGCTTGGGGCCAGCAACAGATACACTCTCAGCCTGCTCAAAATACTTTTCCTCAGGAGCCGGGTCCTTCCTTAGGGGATCGCATCTGACTACATACGTGCGTGGCTGCAGCCAGTTCCCTGGTTTCTGTGCCTGGCCCGAGGATGAGCCCCGACCTCTCCTCCTCTGCAGGGTCGGACGACCCAGAAGAGCCCAGGGCTCCCCACCCCACCCAACAGCAGCATCGGAACAGCCGGACCCGAGCACACCCCACCCACCTCGGCCACCTCGGGGGTGGCGTGGATCAGGCGCCAGATGTAGCCGTTTAACTGCTCCCTCCGCCGCTCGGCCCCCGCCTCTCCCCTCGGGCGGCCAATCAGGAAGCGACTGGGGAAGCTGGCAAGTGTGGGTGCGCCGGAGGGGAAGATGGGAAAGAAAGTGAAGAGGCAACAGGCTTTTGTCACATTTCACTTGCATTTTCAGTCACCTGACCCACATTCCTAACCAGCCTCCCTTCCCAGGGACCCCACTCACTCCATTCCTCCCGCAGCTCCCCATGCCTGTGCCCAGGGCACACCCGGACAGTTCCAAGGACCCCCGAAAGAAAGCCAAACTGCTGGGGAGAGTCCTATGGGTCCCCAGAAGTACCTCAGAGGCTTTGGGGCCTCCCCGTTTTCCCCATCAAGGTAAAAGTCATTTGAATGATTTTTAAAATTTTTGTGGTGAAATACACTCAACAAAATTTACCATCTTAACCATTTTTAAGTATAAAGTTTAGAGGCATGAAGGACATTCACACACAACTGTCTATCTCCAGAACTTTGCATCATGCAAAACTGAAACTCTACCCATTAAACAATTCCCCATGTCCACCCCCCACCCACAGGCCTTGGCAAGCAACATTTTTACTTTTGTCTCTAGGAATCTTACAACTGTAAGTGGAATATCACACAGTATCTGTCTTTCTGTGACTGGTTTAGTCCACTGAGCATAATGCCCTCAAGGTTTATCCATGTGCCGGAATGTCCTTTTTTTTTTAAAGAATCCTCACCAGAGGATATTTTTCCATTTATCTTCAGATGGAGGGAGGAAGAGGAAGAGAGGGTGGGGGGAGAGAGAGAGAACGAGAGGGAGAGAGAAACACTGAACCACGACCGAGGTTTACCTCTTGACTGGAATTGAACTCACAACACTCTGGTCTGCAGGCCAAGCTCTAACCACTGAGCAAACCAGCCAGGGCAGAATTTCCTTCTTTTTAAAGCTTCATACTATCCTATTGTATGTATATATACCACCTTTTGTTTATTTTTAAAAATACTTTTACTTTTTAAAAGATGAGAAATCTTGCCCTGGCCAGTGTGGCTCAGTTGGTTGGAGCATCATCCCCGTACACCAAAAGGTCACAGGTTCCATTTCCCGACAGAGCACATACTCAGGCTGTGGATTCCATCCCTGGTCAGGGTGCATACCTTTTCAACCTATCAATGTTTTTCTCTCTCCCTCTCTCTCTAAAGTCAATTAAAATAATAATGATAATGCTAAATAAAAAACATATCCTCAGGTGAGAATTAAAAAAATAAATGAGAAACCTTGAAACAGCTTCAGATTTAGTAAATCCCCCTACCTTTAGACCCAGTTTGCTTTACTTCCTGCTGGTGGGTCCCACCTTATTTTCAAGGGTGGAGAGCTTGGCCAGCAGGGGGAGCACTTGTTATCAAACTCATTACCAGGCCCAAGAAAACTTAGTACCTACTAGTTTGCTACACTAGTACCTACCCTTTGCTCTAGAAGAGTTTCTGGCTCCTGCAGTCCCGCCCATGCCCCATCCATTCTCCCTCCCCATTATCCCTCTGGCAGGAAGTAAAAGGGGCAGCTACCTGGGCAAGAGAGAAGAAGGGAAGAGCAGCCGCAGCTTATTGTGTAACTCCTGGAACTCCTCAAATGTCCGCTGGATATAAGTGGCCTCGTGAGCATTCTCTCGCATCACCTTTACCACGTAAATCTGCAAAGGTTCAAGTCTTAGAGAACACCTGACACACCCTCCACACCCAGCGAAGGGAGTACACAAGTGAAGTGAAGTGTGTGTGTGTGGTGGTGGGGATAACACTTTCCAGAAGGAAGAAGGCAAAAGTATCTCCAGTGGAGACGAAGATGTTATGTCTATGGACATATGCAGGAATTTGAAAGCAAGTGTTTCCTGCACATGTTTTGCAAGACCCTTGACTCAGAGGGAGCACCCATCCAGTTCAGCTCCCTGATTCCAGGCAGGCCACTTGGGCAAGGGAGAGTGATATGGTCTGTGACTGCTCCCAGCACAGGATGCTCAATGACTCCAGTGCCCACTATGTGGATGGAAAGAAACAGAACCCAGTAAGCTATGGGCACTGGGGAGCTAGAAAGAATCAGACTGGAGAAGACGCTTACGTAGGCCTTATTGGGGTGGAAGACCTTCTCCTGGCGGCAGACAAAGACATCACTGAGGCGGCCAGAGCGCTGAAGAGTGTGTGTGCGGGGGGCAAAGGAAAGGGTCAGCTGGTCATCTGAGCCCGTGAACTTCATCTGAGCCAGGTTATGGATGAAAAAATTGAGCTTTGTGGCTACACTTCCCAAGCTGGACTCAATCAACCTGTTGGTGCAAGAAGTTGGGAAGAGGATGTCACCCATGCCCCCACTGCCTGGACACAGCTACCTCAAGGAATACCCCCCGAGACTAACACTTAGTTCACGTCAAGTCATTTTCCTCGGGTAATGTCCTCACAGAGCATGTGATTGGCACACAATTAACTACATGCAATTTATTCATGTGAACTCAGGGGTCTTATCTCCCTGTGCTGCTCTCCTAAGCCAAAGAATTAAACCAAAGTAGGAAGGAATTAAGGATTCCACCTAGGGTCACCATGTAAATATCTAAATATTGTTGTCAAACTGAATTTCAAGGTTCCAGTACTATGGCACCTCACCAAGCACTGCTCAATCTAGAGATTTCAGTTCAAAGGGAAAGGTTCTGTGCTAGAACAACAGAAAACAGTTTGCAAAGCTCCAAAAGTGTGCAAAGAGCACAAAATGGAGACATCATCTATACAGACAAAACTGCAGATGCTCATACATAGGTACTTCCCTGCTTCTGTATACAGTGTGCCTAAAAACATTGTTAGATATGGGAAAATGAAACCAGGAAATGCATGTTTTGATAAGGGAGAAGGAAGGTTTTGATCCAGAGGGCTGAAATTCATACTTGTCCCATCAACAAAGTCTTTGACCAAGACCTGGTGAGAGTGCAACACCTCTATAAACAGAGGTAAGCACCGAAGTGCAGGCGCAAAGCTGAGTCTGAGAGGTGCAGGAATTTACCTAAGTCAGAGGCAAAGTTGGGACAGCACGTCACACTGTCAACTCAGCTCTGCCGCCTGAGCTAAGCCTCTCCCATCTCCCCAGCCCCTCTCCTCCGAAGCAGGCAGCCTGAAAAATAATTACTCGGTGTGGGCAGCGCGTTTTGTATGCAGGATGTTACCTAGTGAAGTAGGTAGTGGCATTGGCCTCTGTGTCCTGAGGCCTCAGGGCATCATAGACATACTTGAGGTCCTCTAGGTCTGAGAGTTCGGGGATCCCACAGGACAACATCTAGAAGGAGAGTAAAGGGGGAGAGAGGGAGCCTATAACAAGCAGGAATTCTTGCTTCTTCTCCACCACAGGGCAAGATTTTCCACAGCTCGGCTTTTCCTCTCACACTTCCAGGAGGGTCCTAGAGGCTGGTAAACAGATGCTGCGGATAGTGGCTGGAGAGCCACAGGAATGGACCGGCCGCCCTGGCTGAGTAACTCAGTTGGTTAGAGCATTGTCCTGATAACACCAGGGTTATGGGTCTGATCCCCAGTCAGGGCACATACAAGAATCAACCATAATGCATGAATGGGTGGAACAACAAATCAATGTTTCTCTCTCTCTCAAATCAATCAATCACTAAAAATAAATACATTTTTTAAAAAGATGTTTAAAAAAGAAAAGAATGGAGGGGCTGGAGCAGGAAGTCAGACGCCTGTACAGACACCATTGTCCTGGGTAGACTAGGCCTTGTCTTTATCTAGAATTGAGAAAAGTAGATCTCCAGGAATCCCTTAAAGCAAGACAGGGTAGTCTTCAAGAGAGTGTCAGATGATAAGGAGGAGGGGTTCAGGAAGGAATGGAGCTCCTCACCAGGCCCAGAAGGTTGAGGAAGAGGTGGGTGTGCTTGCGAATGAGGTTGTAGGCTTGGCAGCAAAGGTCAACAAAATCATGGAAGCGGCTGGAAGGCTTGTCACCCCCGTTGATGACATACGCCATATCCGAGGTGAAGACAAAGGGGGCACGGTCCCTGGGCCAAGGGGAACATACAGGTAGAAGGTCAACATGGAGGAGAAAGCCCACCTTGGGGGCTGTAATGGGGATGCTTTCCCTCATCCCTCATCACCTATGCAAACCTGGATAGATGGGGCTTTCTCCGTTTGCTTTTTCTACCTTAATCCTGAAACATCCCCAGAGACATCTGTCATTGGTTTCTTGTCTGTGAGCTAACAGGACTTTTTCCTGGATATCTACTTGTATTCCCTTTGCTGAAGTTTGCCTCATTTCCCTTTGCTCAGTCCTCAGCAGGGAGAGAGCAGCTGGTCCCTGCCTTCTGCAAGGCCCTGCAAGGACCTGAACTCTTTCTCAGCCTTCTCTTCTCCAAAGCTGCTCAGCCCAAAGACCACGCTCTGAAGTGCAGCTCCTTCCATCGCAGGCTATTGTCCCCGCTCTGAACCGTTTCTGCTGACCCCTTTTCCCTACACACACATCCCTGCTTCAGGACACCACTTAGGACCACTTACCGCTTGATGTTGCCAAACATCTGGGCATGGCCCAGGAAGCGGCCAAAATCTATGTGGAACATGTGGCCGGTTGTCTTCAGCATGATGTTGTCATTGTGTCGGTCACAGATGCCCAAGACGTAGGTGGCCACACAGCAGCCGGCACAGGAATAGATGAAGTTCTCCACGGCCTGGGAGGAGGAAAGGAAGATGGGAGGAGAGGGTATAAAGCTGTCTTGGAAGGACTCCAGGGTCACAGCAAGACTGAATTCCACTAGTTGTGGCTTCTTTCTCATGTGTCCCAACAGCACCTCACATCTACCTGTTCGGCCTTCATCACAGACCAATGTGCACACTGATACACCTAGACTTGCCTCTGGTATCTTAGGGAGCATGAGAAGATGGAAGGCCTCTATGTATATCTTCACCACTTTATCTGAACTTCTTCCTCTGCACTTTTCTTTCTCCCAGGGAGCATGGTTAGAAAGACAATGAATCTATCCAGAGCCCAAACTTGACCAGCCCAGACTGAAGAGACCTTAATAGACAGGAAAACTGACCTGCACAACTTTCCCAACCAGTCTTAACTCAAGCACACACTAAGACAGCCAACTGAAGGGTCCCTTCCTGACCCTGCTCAGAATTCTTCCATCCTTCTCCCTGCCCCCCAAACTACCCATTCCCAGTGTTCTTAGCAACAGCTAAATGCTAATCTCATTAAAGTCACTTCACTCCAAAAAAGAGCTGAGGCAGCTTAACAGTTCTGGGTGTGTTTTACACTTGAAAATTAGACATCAGACATTCTGGGTGTAAAGCAGGAGGGGAGGGAAAAGGGGTTGGATCCACCTTATTTTATCTGGTCAACACCTGTCCCCTTATCTGTCTTCCCAGAAAGTAAAAATATGTGGAATTAGCAAATGGACACCTTTCACTCTAAATCCTCTTTGTGACATTTATAAAATTCCCAAGAATTCAAGAAATGCTCACTAGCACAGGGCAACAATGATCACAGCCAACCAGGAATGTACTAAGTTAAGAATGGAGAAAAGCTTCCCAGAGAACGTGGGCCCTCCCTACACCCCTCTGCAAAGTCCTGCCATACCTCATGGCCCTTCCTTGAGTCCCACACCTTCCCCAGACCTTCCCAGCTCACACGGATCCTCCTCATCGAGTCCCCCAGCCCCAGAGCCCCCACCACTCAGGGCTTCGTCTTTTCACTCCCTCAGGGCCCAGGGATCTCCTCTCCCAGCAGTTTCTTGGCTGTTCTACAAGGCCTGTTTCAAAACTAGCTACACACAGAAACCTCCCAGATACTTGTTGAATTAAACCAGATGACTCAAAATAGAAAATTTGTGAAGAAGTCATAGAGTGCACCTCCTGGAAGAAAGACTATTTAGATGGAAGGGAGATACAGGAATGAAAGGAAACCATTCAATGAGGAATATAACACAACTCCCTGTCTTGACCTTCACCTCCATCAGCTTGCCTTCCTGACCCAGATATTCTTTGTACATGAAATGCATCCTCTTTTGACTTACAAAATCGCTGTATGCCCAAGGGCAAATGAATCAAGTCCCATCACTTACATTATGCAGGATGGTAGTGGCTCACTGGCAGGAAGTCTCACTGAACAAAGGGTGCCCTCCTGATTTAAGGGGTTTCAGTGGTAGGATATAGGGAACTCTATTTGCTGAGTAAGTGGTCAAGAGCCAAATATCTCCAGTTCTTTCCTACTGGAAGTCATCATAAGACACTACCAGCATTATTCTAGCAGAAAGGCTAGAAGAGCTGAGAAGTTAGTTTTGAAAGACTTATTAAACATTGAAGACTCAGCCCTGGCCAGTTTGCTCAGCGGTTAGAGCGCTGGACTGCGAACCAGAGAGTCCTGGGTTCAGTTCCTGCTAAGGACATGTACCTTGCGGTTCATCCTGGCCCTGGTTGGGATTGTGCAGGTGGCAACTGATCGATATGTCTCTCTCACATCGATGTTTCTCTCTCTCTCCCTCCCTCTCTCCCTCCAGCTCTATCTGGAGATAAATGCAAAAAGTATCCTCGGGTGAGGATAAAAAAAAAAAAATTTAAAAACATTTAAGACACAGAGTTACTCTTCTGTGTGTGTATTCTTGTTGTAATATGTGTAGCATATTTACTATGACTCTTTATTACATTGGCAGGAAGTAATCATCATTTCAGCACCAATCACAGTGCCTTTGCATGGTGGCTATTTAATACCTGAAAACCACATGTTAGTAGAAATAGTATATGGGGTGCGTGGGAGGGAGGAAAGAATCCATTACTCTTCTCCAAGGGAGAGGACCTTGAAGTCTGCAACACAGAGAGGGTGGACTTTGAGAGGGGGGAAGGGATTACTGTTGCCTAAAGGTATCAAGGCAATACAAGTAGATCCCTAAGCTACAGCATAAGTTATCATGAGATGGGAGGGAAGGGCTAGGATTCCAGGGAAAGGCGGAGCTTGATTACAAAAGGCTGTATGGGCAGTGCTGTGGATGTTGGACTTATCTTTTAGGATATAAAAAACCTTTGAAGAACTTAGAGCAAAGGAGTGACATAAGCAGGTTCGCACTTTATAAAACAAAACAAAACAACCCTCTGACATCAAGTGGAGACTGGTGATGGAAGGAGGAGACATGCTAGTGGTTCAGGGAACAAAGAGCAAAGTGCTGAAGGAAATGCAAAGAGGACAGATGTGAGAACTGTTTGGGAAGAAGAATCAGCAGGACTTGGTGCAGCAGAAGCATCAAGAAGGCCCGTGGCTCTGGCTTGGGTGACTGCACAGACAGTCATACCATTTACTGAGAGGGAACACACACAAGTCAGTTTCAAGAGAGGAGAGACAAAAAGCTGAGTTTTGCCCACACTTTTTTCTTTTTATCCTCACCCGAGGACATTTTTTGATACTTTGTTCAGATGGAGTCGGAGGGAGAGAGAGAGAGAGAGAAACATCGACGTGAAAGGGACACATCGAGTGGTCGCCACCCGCACAACCCAACCAGGGCCAGGGACAAACTGCAACCGAGGTTCGTGCCCTTAGCGGGAACCGAACCCGGGTCTCTCTGGACCGCAGGCCAACGCTCTAACTGCTGAGCCAAACCAGCCAGGGTGAGTTTTGCCCACACTGAGTTTGAGGTTTGGGTGAAACACAAGTGAGATGTCCAGCAAGCAGGTGGCTACAGGGTGCACTGCTCGAGGGAGGGAAGCGGGAAGAGCTTTGGGAGGCATCAGCATAGGGGTGGTAGTTAAAGTAAGAGGTGGTGGGCTGGCACAAGAAGAATGCAGAGAGTACAGCAGGTCAGGAATTAAACCCAGAGGAATATCAACGTTGAAGTCCATTTAAGATCATTTAATTCGATGTTCACTAAACAATATTCTGATTATAATTTGTCCATGGAGGTTTTGCCTCAAGGATAAAATGTATTACTCAATACAATTAGTATTTGGATCCCTTTGGAAGTTAAATTATATAAATTAGCATTCTGGCTTACAGTCAGTTTCCTATGAGTTTGGTTATTGTGACTTGTTCCCTCCCCTAAACTTAGGTAACCCAGAGACTAGAGCCATGAAACTGTGGGCCAGCCATGGACCCCACACAGCAAGCCACCAAGGCCCTACCACCCAGTAAAGCTCCACCCTTTTCTATCATCTCCATCTCCTACCTAACCTCAGTCTTGGCTTCCATTTACAACCTTGCCACAAACCAGCTCCATAACTAGGAATAATGGAGTGACTCTTAATTCACATCTATGAAAAGATGAGTTGGATTAAAATGATCTTTAAGGTCTCTTCCAACTCACTCTTGTTCTACAAAGTACTGAACCCCTCAGAGGGCACAGAAGAACTGAACAGAATCCATAATTAGGAGAGATATAGACAGGTTCTCAAAAGTTGGCCCCCTTCTCCAAAGCACAGTCCACCATGGGAACTCAATGAAGGCATCCCAGTTGGATACCAGGAGATTTTTGGTCAGCTTACCAGTCATCTGACCCACCCTTAGACATCTGGATACACCAGTCAACCAAGAAAGAATGTTTCTTTCCTCCCAACACAGCTGAGCTGTCTTCTCTGAGCATGTGCAGGTCATATGGTAACAGAGCACTGTGCCAGAGCTGGGCATACCCACCCCAGCCTTGTCTGCCACTCCCAGTCCTACCTTCTCGTACTCGTCCTCCCCAGGGTTGTGCTTCTGTAGCCAGTCGGCCAGAGGCCGGTCCTTGAAGGAGCCGGTCACCCCGTGCTCCACCTGGATCTTGCGCAGGGTCTCAGCATTAGGGATCATCTCCACCATCCCTGAGAGGGAGGCACCGTGTCACTCTCCAGAGCAGAGAGAAGGGACTGTCAGGAGAGAACTACAAGCACTTTGCCGGATGCTTCTCTCTAAATTAAACTCTATGGCATTTGGACCTGGTCTGACAATAAGGGGAGCAGATCATGGTTATTGTGACTTGTTCTGCCAAAGGATGCCATCCCCCAGGTCTCACGTTCCGCATTGCGACTCTGGTTTCTCCTATTCATAGCTGCTGCTTCTTTTTGTTTTGAATTTTTATTCTAGGAATGTTCAAATACATATAAGCATAAAGAAATGGACCATGGCCCTGGCTGGTTTGGCTCAGCGGTTGGAGCGTCGGCCTGTGGACCAGAGAGTCCTGGGTTCCGTTCCCGCTAGGGGCATGTACCCCCCCCCCAAAAAGAAATGGACCATGGCCCAGACGGTGTGGCTCAGTGGTTGAGCATTGACCCATGCACCAAGATGTCGCCAGTTCGATTCCCTGTCAGGGCACATGCCCAGATTGTGGGCCTGATCCCCAGTGGGGGGCAGGCAGGAGGCGCCAATTGATGTTCTCTCTCATGGATGTTTCTATCTCTCTCTCCCTCTCCCTTCTGCTCTCTCTAAACATCAATAAAGAAAAAAAAAAAGAAAAAGAAAAAGAAGGAATAGACCATGTACTCACACATAATCACTGCCCAGTTTAAAAAATTATCAACACTTTGCTCATCTTGTTTAATCTGTTTCACTCACCCAACACTGCTGCTTTGGCCCCCTGGCTGGAGTATTTTACAGCAAATCCCAGACATGTCATTTCACACATAAATATTTAAAGTACAACTAAGAAGGACAAAACCACCATGCCATTATCACATCCAAACATTAACAATCATTCTTTAATCTCATCTCATCTCATCTAATCTTACCTAACCCAATCCATATTCATATTTTCCCCAACTGTCTCAAAAAATATCTTTTTAGAGTTGATTTGGTTGAATCAGGATCCAAAGTCTACAGAGTACATTTGGTCCTCCTGCCTTCTATTTTTATTCCACTCCACAGCTTCTAGTGAAATCATCTTGCCCTTTCCATGTTTCCTGAGGCGCACACAGTTGGTGTTGGGAATAGGCAAAAGGACAGTAAGCAAAGGGCACCCCCCACCCTACCCTCCACCTGTTCACAGCCCCGCCCACTGCCAACTGACCTCTCCCCCTTCCAGTGGAGAAGCAGCGGAAAATCACCATGCGCATGTCCAGCCCCTCCTGGACCCAGATCTTGCTCATGATGCGAATCATCTGCAGGGTGAGCATGTCCTGGCGAAGGTCATCCCCACACTGGAGGGAGGAAGACAGTGATGACCAGAACCATCTCTACCCCCTCCCTTGGCTCCCAAATATCCCAGGAGGATCCAGACTACAGTGACAGGGAGGGACTGTCCAGTTCTCCACCTCTGACCTGCCCACTCAGCTTGTACCAGATCAAACCACCAGGGAGGAGCCACGTGGTGTTTCTGCTCTTCCCCAACCCTACATTCCCATCTGAACTGAGGTCAGGTTCCCCTTCTTCATGCAGCCCTTCTGACCACCAAGCCTCTCTGAAAAACTTGAATGTTTTTACCTTGGATTCAGAATTTACACACAGCATATGCATATAAATATAAATAAATATAAATACATTTCGTCTCCCCCACTAGATTACATGCCTTGAAACGATCATTCACTTCTCCAAAGCATGGACGTATCAGTTAGAGGGTCTATGGTTCAACTAGTCCAACCTGCACCTGATATATTAATTTCAACACCACGGCCACACAGTCATTCAGTCTTTGCTTGAATACCCCCAGGGACAAGCAGATCACTGCCTTATCCTGCCATTGTAGGGGTAGCTCTGCCTCTTGGAATGTGCTTCTGTATATTGAGCTATCAATTGCCTCCCTACATGTCCCACTCTCTGGGGCCACACAGCATCAGTCTATTTCCTTTTCCACCCAATATATGGTCTTTCGTATATTAAAATCACGGCATGGAATAGCAGAAAGAACTGGCCTGGGCTCCTTCTGCCACCCTTGGGCACCCTCCTCCCCTTCTCCCTACCACCTCCATCCCACCAGGCTTGAGGGAAATGTCCCCACCTTGAAGATGATTCTGATGTTCTCACCCAGGGGATCCACATTCTGGAAGGAGAGCTTGAGGGGCACTGCATTGGAGTTGAAGTAGGAACAGTCCTGCCACAGTAGAGAGAGTAGTGACGAGGGTCAGGGTGGTCCACACCCAGGAAGGAAAATGGCTGTCTGCTTGGGTAGAGCTGCCTCCGGTACATCTGCTCACGGTTTCTTCCAGATGTTCCCAGGAGCCCTCACACTTTCCCTCCTTTCTGACCTTCGTCGTCTATGCAGCTTGTTACGACCTCAGCTTGAGCACCTGGTCTCTCATCCCTTCCGTTCATTCTGCACACAACTTACTAGTGCTGTGACTTTGGTGAGTTCTGTGTCCCATCCCTACCTCGGTTTACTCCTCTGTGAAATGGGGCTCCCAACAGTAGCGACTTCCCAGAGTCGTGAGGATGCAATGTGATAACCAGCACGAAGCACTCAGAGCAGTGCCAGGAGCAGAGACCGCTCAGCTCCACCAGCCCGGCTTCAACCCAGCGTCATCCCAAGACACTTACCTAGCGCCCACCCTGTCCCTCCACCCTGCACAGCTGTTAGCGTTGTCCCTATGCGTTAGGGTTGGGAAGAGACCCCACACATGCCGTTCTTCCTCGTTTTTCTCAATAACCAGGTCTGCGAGAACCCCACCTCCACTGAGCCCTCCCCACTCCAAGAGCCCCAAACCCACTGGTCACTCACCCTCGGCACGATGCCCTTAACCAGCAGACTGGGGCTGAGTGGCAGGCGGCAGGAGCCATTGAGGGCAAAGAACTGTTTTACCTCATCCAGGCCTGTGCGGAGGATCCCCTGGGAGGGACAGGAGGAGGAAAAGGAAGAGAGCGAGGTGAGGGGCCCATAAGCCCCGCTCAGATCCAAGCCTCTCCCCAGGGCTGGCACCCAGCAGTAGCTGGTATGAAAACGACCCTCTAAGAAGTATGGACAACCTCCAGGAGACCACGAAGAAGGAAGACCAGCCCTCCCATGTCCCAGCCTGGGACAGCGCTTGGGCAGCAAGCCCAACACCTCAAGAGGCTAAATGATGAGTGAACAGCCTACGGCGGCCCCCAGTGAACAGAGACAGCAGGTGGCTCAGTCTGCCGCCAAGAAAAGCTAACAATATGGACTTGACAACCTCTCAAATTCTAAATGTTAGCGAGAGGCACGTTAACATTTGTGCAAACAGATAAAGGTGCCCTCTCTGGTGGCAGCAGCCTCGAGCCACGGCTCAGAGCATGGTGGACAAAGTCCGCCTGCCTTCCAGCCCTTGTGCCCCCGACTGGGTGGCTCCTGTGCAGCGGACAACTGTGCTTAGCCTCTAAAGCAAAAAGTCAAATAAAAATTGTAATGCTTTGCAGCACAAACAAAACCTATCCATGGGCTTTATCCAACTTGCAGACTGTCAGTCTGTGACCTGGAGCTTAGAGAGTCACTAAATCAGAGAGGGTCAAGGGCTTAAGAAGTTCATGATTGGCTGCAGAAGTTCAGGACCGGAAGTAGGTAGCAGCAGCCTCATCCCACTCACCTGCCTTGCAGAGGGGGTGGCCTCCCGGACCTGCTGGGCCAGCTTGGCCAGGGTGTTGACCAGCCAGCACTGGCGATTAAACTCCTCTCTCAGCCCCTTGCCGCAGCAGCACAACAGGGCTGCCAGCAGATACTGGTAGCGGATGCTGAACTGGGAGTCCTTGAGGCCGTCCTTCAGCAACCTGCAAGGCCAAAGGAGCGGGAGTCAGGCCACTCAAAGGATCACAGGCAAGGGTGCACGTGTGTGGGGAGTCAGACCCCACTCCAATCGTGGAAAACCCACCCCAAACCTGGGAGGACAGCTCATACAGAGACGGTCACCCGCATCCCAGTCTATGCCCGCTCTGCCTTAGAGCTCCGACACCCTTGGCATCTGCTTCTCCTTTCTTTTCGCCACGTGTGGGTGGGTAGGAGGTCCAGGGAAGATCCTCGCTGTGCTACGTGGTGGTGGACTGAGACACTCTGAGCATCGGGCTGGCCCAAAGCCACACGGTAAGTCAGCAACATACTGGAACGCAGGAGGCTCAGCTCCCACCCTGCACGCCTGGGAGTGGGACACTCCAGGGGAAAGGACCCATGTCTCCCTCCCTCCTGTGGCACACAGCTTTACCAGAAGAAGTAGTGAGTCACTCTCAAGTCGGAGACTGCCCGCTTTAGGAGGAAGCGCACCAAGGGGCTGTCCAGGTAGCACTCATACTTTAGGGCCTATTTAGGAGAGAGGGAAGAGGAGGCTAGATGGACTGCCCGCGATCCACACCTACCACTCTCTCCACCCCAGGTTCTCAGGGGCAGAATGCAGACCAGCATGGGGGCTTGGGGTGAGACCACCAGAACTGGGGGGCAGGCCATTCCACCCACCTGCACGAGCTGGGGCAGGTAGTCCAGCAGCTCGGCATCCGAGAGCGAGCCGATCCACTGGACAGCCATATGCCGCACCTCCTGGTCCGGGAAGCTGCAAAACAGAGCCCAGCGCCCTGACCACCAAGCCCCAGGCTCTGAGGACCGGAGCAAGCCAGCACCCTCACGTCAGAAGCATGAGGGGAGAACAGCCGATGTCCCCCAGACTCGGCCAAAGCCATCGGAAGAATCCTTAGCACCTTCTCTGGATAGCAACTTCAAGAATGGCCCTGCCCCCTGGGCAGAGCTGGACTCAGACCACGGATGAACAGGAGGGTTGTCATGTTCCTTCCTCGTGTGACTTAAAGAAAACAGGACAAAGTCCTCAATCCCACTCCCAAAGACCTCTTCCTTGACTCCCACTGTGCCGGAAATTCCCCCACCAAAGAGCTCTCGGAGGGTTAAAGCATTCTTGTGTCTTGGTACCATCCTTTAGTGCCAGTCTTGCCAAGTGAACAACAGAGAGGCATGGAGTTTTACAGAAGCCCGAACACCTTGGCAGAATTCATTTAGCAGAGCAACACCATTGCCTCAAAAAGTCCTGAAGGCAAGTCAGGACGGAGTACACGTTAATTTCTGAAAAGGTGAGGAAAAAGCCAACAACACTGGGCACCATCTGAGAAAGGCAGCCTGGCGGTCTGAGGGGACGAGCCTTGTGTCCCCAGAGAACCCCTCAGAGGAAAGAGGACTGTTGAAGTAGGACTAAAGGAGAAGGTCTGGGTCACACGCACTCGCCCAAACTCAGCCATGGTGCAGGGAAGGCGGGACATTTCCTTACATGTAAATGTTGCCTCAAAACAAAACAAAAAAAACACATAAACAAACTTTGGGCTCTAGTTAATGATATTCATGCTAAAGTATTAGGAGGGAGTTATGATGCCTGCAATTTACATCAAAATGCATAAAAAAATTAAGTGGACTGGTGGATGGATGGATGGATGGATGGATGGATGGATGCACACACAATAAAGCAAATAGAACAAATCCTAATGGTTAGAATCCCAGTGGCGGGTGTATGGATGTCCACTATAAAATGCTCCTTTTTGTTATACCTTGACAAATGTTCATAATATAATATTGGGAGGAAATGAGACAATGACAAAGTGGAAAAGCCCTGAATTTCCAGCCCCACGTTGCCACATTCCCCAGGGCTGGCTCAGGTCGGCGATGGGCAGTGCCAAGCCCTGGCTTCTGCAAGGACACCTGGTCAGTAGAGGTGGGTGTTACAACTCACGTGGCATGTAGGAGCCCCAGGGCGTCCTGGTGGTTCATGTGGGTCCACTGCTTCAGGAGAGCATAGATGTCGGGCAGGCAAGCCCACTCCCAGCTGGGGGCACTGGCAAGCACCAGGGGAAGTGAGCTGACCTCCGAGTGGCAATAATATCGCTTCTCCCACAAGCGCTTCTTGTCAGCATCAGTGAGCCTGGGGGTGCGGGTAGCAGGGGGAGGTGAGAGAGCAGTCAGCCCGAGGGTAGGGTCCTTATTCTCCAACAGAATGCTGCACACTCTCCAACTCATTGGTCCCCCAGCTTTGCGGCACAGCACAGTCACCTGAGCTTTGGGAAATCCTCACCCCCAGGCCGCAGCCCACACCGATGAACTCCGAATGTCTGGGGAAGTGACTCTGGGTATTTTAAGTGCCTAGTGATTGGCATGTGTATAGGGAACCAGGGCCCAAATCTCATCTTTGATGCTGACTCTGGGACATCTCAGACCTGGGGAGGAATCCAGGGCCAAAGGCATGGAATTTGCTCCTCCTCCTAAGGATGCCCTTTAGGGCACCACTCCCAAGGAGAGCCGCCAGAGGGCAGTGGTCCCACACAGCAGGGTCTGGGTAGCTCAGAGGTGTCCTGGGGCTTCCTAGGTCCAGCTGGAGGTTTTATAGGATCTACAGCTAATTAGGTCTTGCCTGAGATCAGGTGTCTAATGGGAGAAGGGAGCTGACGGACTAATGAAGCCAGGGGTCCAGCAGAGGAGTGGGGGTGGGGGAGGTCTGCAGTTGCTCAGCTACTCTGGCTGCACGGGGTGGGGCAGGACAGGAGAGAGGTGAGCCCTGTCTCTGCCTGTCCCCACCCACAACATACACAGGGCAGGGCAGGAGCCAGAGAGCACACACAGAGCAGGCATCCCAGCAGCTCCTCCAGGTCCTGATTCCTCAACCCCTTCTCTAATCCTGTGAGAGAAGCAGCCCAAGGATGAGATCAGCTTGGACTCGCTTCCCTCTGAGAGCTGCCAGCTTGCCTTGACACCTGATCCCTTTTGGAAAGTGACAGGGCCAGAGAAGCGCAGACTGTGGGTACAGAAGGGACGGGAGGTGGGGGCAGGGTGGTGCAGTCGCCGCTAGTAGTAGGCAGTTGATCTGCGGTGTGAAGCCAAAGCTATGGTCCTCTTGGCAAGCTGAGGCTGGGCCAGCTTCCCAGCACAGGGATGGGTATTTCCAGATCTAATCTCCGGACCCTGACTGCTCCACATTGGCCAGTGTCCAAAAGGCCTGGGGGCTGCCCTCAGCAGAAACCTCCTTCCACCACTCCCTGTCCTGGTGGCCGTGCCCGCCCTATCCCACCTCTACTCCCAAAGCAGAAGGGCATGGAGCTGGGAGGTGAGAGAAGTCAGACAGAATGTGATAGACTTAGTGGGGCCCGAGCCACACCTGGGGGACGCCCTGGGCCTCACCAGTACAGGGACTCCTTCTGCATGATGTTTTTAAGCACACGTTGGTCTTCCTCCCGGAGGCTGCCGAACTCATAGCAAGGACTGAACTTGTCCCCAGAGGGGTTGGTGAACTTGATGCCAAAGGCCGAGGTGGGGAAGTCAATCTGGGGGCGTCCCAGAAGCAAGGAGAGAGAACAGGCAGGTGAGAGGGGCTGCCACCCATCGGGTCGCCAGCTTCTTTCCCACACCGCACTCCTGCCTTCCTCCCTCCCTTACCCTCAGGTTCTTTGTTTAGGAAATAACCCTGTTAAACGTGGTGCTCTCTCAAGCCCCGCTCAGCTGTAACTTCCAGCAGAATAAGAGAAGAAAGTGAGGAGAGCGGAATAAAAATGGGCAAGTGAGGAAGAGGTTGGGCCGAGATGCCTCTAGGTGAGGGACCAGCCTCAGGCCAGGACTCTGAACAGAAGTGTCTCCAGGCTGAGCCACTGGAAGCCTCCAAGCCGAGGTTGGGGAGCCTTCAGTGTGGTCCGGGAGGGCACTCCGCCTGGTAGGGGTCAGACACATACAAGGTGGGGGCCCTACCAACTCTAACGCCTGTGACCCGGGGTTCCCTGCTCTATGCTGCTGGATGGCCATCCTCCCAACTGAGTGAGTCAGTTCTCAGAGGGGGGTGCTATGTGCCCTCATTCAACAAATGTTTACGGAACCCTATGTGTCAAGCATTGTTCTATGCCCTGGGCACAGAGTAGTAAATAAGGCAGAAACCGTCTGCTCCGTGAAGCTTTCACTTCGTATCTCTCAGTCCACGTCCACTTCGACGTGCCACGTTCCGTACCACAGCACCCCACGACCACAGAAAGGGGAGCCGGAAACTGGTAACCAGACCTTGGGCCTGACCACCTCCTCCTCCTCTCCCCATGAGTCCGTGTGCCTGCTGGAGCACCGAGTGACTGCTTCAGGGAGGGCGTCCCCTCAGGCCCCAAGAGGGGACAGCTAAGACTTTATCACACTTAGTGCTGTGAGGGTTCAATACAAGCGGCTCCAAGGAGTTGAGTATGGACGGGGAGGGTCTCAGACCTGCCGTTAGGCTCCTTGAAATCAACTTTCACCTCCAGGAGATGGGACCGATCCCACAGAACTCACCTTCCCGCTCTAAGTCTAACCACATTCACCCAGTTGCTGTCACGTCATCATCCCATGCCCAAGTTCCAGCGCCTTCCCCTCCGTCCCAGCCCAACCTCAAGGAAAAGCTTGGAGCTAACTCTGGTGCGGTGCTGCTGGTGGGTGGCAGGCAGGACCACAGCCGGGCTCTCACCTGCAGGATGACACTGTCCGGCTGGTGGAAATTAGGTGTACTCCAGCGGGCCGTGGAGTTTTCCTGTGTCGCTGGCCATAAGCCCAGAAGCTTCCGGCCACAGGTTAGGATGCTAAGGAGGATGGAAGGGGGGGATGAGCCAACAAACCCAGGGGCGAAAAACATGGAGTTCCTCCTGCTCCCCAATCCAAACATCTGCCTTTGCTACTTGAAGCCACCACCCAAACCCTCTGTCTCGTTCTTCCCCAGACCACAGACTTTTTCTTCTTCCAAGTCCTAGAAAAGTGCCCCTCTTCCAGGAAGCCTTTCTGAGCAACCCCAGGCCCTGGTGTGGATGACCTGGTGGCAGGGATGCCTTCCTAAGATAGAGAGCCGAACTAGATGACCTTTAAGGTCCTTGCAGTGGCCACACCAGATGGCATGTGATCCAAGCATTGCATTTTCATGCCCCTCCCCAACAGTCGTGTGCCACCGGTCCTGCCCAGTAGCTCCTGGTTCCATCCGTGGTCCTGGTCACTAATCCTGCGCCTTGGTCCCTTCCACCAGAGCTGGGACCCTCTGGGCTCTTCCAGTGAGCCAGCCCTCCCGTTGGCCGTGGCCAGTGCAACAGCCAGGCCCTCTCTGTCCTCCTCCGTCCCTTCCAAGGCCAAGAAGCGACCGCCCGGGGCTCACATACTGCCTGAAGTTGAAGAGTGGGGTAGTGACCCAGCCCAGGGCTGCAGGCACCCTCCGCTGCTTGCCGGCCTCTGAGGAGCTCCCGGGTGGGGGGATGGGCAGGGCATAGAGAGTGGCACAGAGCAGCGTCTCCCTGGGCAGCCGGTTCACCTGCACTGGGAAGCAGATCCTAGGGAGAACAGGAAATGACATCAGAAGGTGCTGCCCCCAGGGCTTCAAGGCCCAGGAAGTCAAGCCGAGGCTGCCCACTCGGCCTCCCTCTCAGGATACGGGACACACTCTGGGGAAGCCTTCCTGCAGAACAAGGACAGTCCCAAACTGCAGGTTCAGCTTCCACTGGATGCTCCCAAAAGCACATCTGGTGTCTTCGCAGCCTCTCAGAAAGGTGAGGCAAACACCCCCTATCGGGGGGCTACCCGTGCTGACCAGATAGAAGTCGCTTGGCCAGTGCCATCTCCGAGTCCAGGTGACTACAGGTCCCATACTGTAAGCCACACACCTTCCCCTGCTTTAGGATTTCTGCGGAGGACCACCAAGAAACTGCTCCTTTGACAGTCCTTTTCCGTTTAACAATCCCAACCCTTCCCCTCATCCGGCTGCTGAGATCCACAGGAAGCAGCAGCGTGCTCTCTGCCCTCGTCCTCCACCCCCCCCCCACCTGTCGGTCTTCTCCCTGTCCCCTTAGCCTAATCCTGGGGACACAAGATGGTTTGCTCTCATCCCAAACATTCTCAAAGCCAAAGGGACACAGAGAAGGGGCTTCTCAACGAGAGGGGGTGGGGCAGAAGGGCTGAGCCAGGCAAGCCTTCCCTCTCCCCAGCCCAGAGGTTCCCTCCCAGGCTCCTCTGAATCACCCGCCACGCCCTGGTCAGGATAAGGGTGGGGTGAAGCAGAGCTGTGGAAAGAGGGAAGGCCCACATTACCTTTGGAGAAAGCTGTCCCTGGGCCAAAGTCCACACTGTCACGCCCTTCTGGCTGGCCCAGGGCCCATCAGCTCCCCGGGCAAAGGGAACAGGGTCAGAGCAGCCACCCCCGAGGGCAGTATTTTCATGGTAAAGCAGCCTCCCTCCATGCTGCCCCTCACTCCTCCAGGGGACTCCTCTCCACCCAAGTGAGGTCCTCCCGCCCTCCCAGGAGACTGGCAGAGCCCTGCTCTGTCCCAGCTGCCTAGGGTGGGGGTGGGGGCGGCTATAATTAGGGCCCCTCCAGCAGCCATCGGACATGCCTGGCTGGGGGTGGCAGAGCCCGGCTGCTGGACCTATTTTGAGAGCGAGCTGATCCCTGTACGACTGCAGCGGGAGAGAGAATCAGCTGACCCCACAGCAAAGAGCAGAGGGAGCTGGGCTCGAGCCCTTTCTTCTCACCCAAGAAGAGGCTTCCTGCCGCTTGTCAAAGGAAAGCTGGACGGAGGGAACTTTCTCACTGAAATCACAACCCATCGAACCAGCCAAGGCCCCGTTCTCAGTCCTTGAGTACACCTGGTATTCCAGGGGTCGGTCAGGATCCTCAGGAGGTTAGCTGCAGCCCTGACATGCCCCCCTGCCTGAGAAACCCCTCCTTCCCTCTGCCACCTGTTCCTCAATGTCGCATCACCTAGCAAAGGGCTGCCTCCTCCAGGAAGGGTTCCTGGCATGAGCCCATTCAGTGCTGGTTCAGCCACTCACATCGACATCTACTCACGCCTCTGCACCTCAGGTTCCTCACCAGTGCAGAGGAGCACACAGCTTCACTTGTGTGATGTGTGTATACACGGTCTGCATGCTTTCTGCTAGGTGACACTATGGCTACTGCACTAGACGTGGGCGACACATAACCTTTTCATGCACAAATATCCCCATGTATCACACGTCACTTTGTCCATCACTTGGAGCAGGACCCGAGAGGGCTCCCTCAGCGAAGAAGACAAAGAAGAAAGCACTTATCATGTGCGAGGTGGTGTGCCAAGGACTTGACCTGCCAAGTCCCAACTAGTCTCAAACAATCCCAGAGGGCAGAGCCTACCACCATGTCCACTGTGGACTGAATGACCTGCCCAGGGTTGCACCTACAGTAAAGATGGGAGGGTGACCATACTCAAGGCCTGTGTTCTGAACCTTTCATCTTCTTCCAATGCCTCAGTCTTCAACATGAAGATGCCAAGAGGTCGCCCCTGGGGCATCTGGATGGGCAGTGCTCAGATGACACCCTGCACAAGGCTCCGGGCAGGGCACCAGCCCTCTGGGATTCCAGGCAGACTTCTCAGACAGGGAGCGAAATGAGACCCAGAGAGTAGGCAGGCTGAGGGACCTCTGATACTCTATGGGAAAAGGGTATAGGGCCAATTCTGTGGGGTCTGCCTGGCCCGGAGCACTGTCTAGCACCCCTCCTTTGACAGTGGAAGTAACCAAGGCCAGAGAAGGCTGAGGGGGTGGTGGCACTCACAAGACACTCACTGCAGCCTTCCTGTCCCCAAGGAGGCTCTCCTGCCCTGGCAGCTATTTCATAAAAGGACTTGATTCCCCACAGGAGGGAGGGGCTGCCTCCCCAGCTGTCCACCTAACGTGACCCGTGCCTCCCAGCATTTCCACAGACTCCCTATCTACCTATTCGGCTTTCTTGGCCTCCAAGGACCCTTCTCAGTCCCTCTAGTATGCACTCTAAATACTGAAGCAGTGGTTCTGCTCTGCAAATAGAGACCCAGCTGCAGTGAGTATGGGGAAGTGAACCTGGGCAGCAAGCGCGGCCTTATGACTGCCTGGAGGAGGACCAAGCACAGCGAAAGAGGCCCAGGCAGGCAAACACCTGCAACCCCACTTCCTTCCTGCTCCGCTCGGCTGACGCCTACCTTCCCGGCAGCAATTTCTCGTTGAAAAAACGCTGATTAATATTCTCCTGGGCTTATGGCTTCATATTTATAACTTATCTGTCCATGGCAGTCCCACAAATGCCACTGAGTTAGGCAAATATCCCTGCTTCACATTTTGAGAAACGGAGACACAGGGGCCAGAACTAAGCTGAAGGACAGCCTGCTCTCCGTGGCTTCGAGCCCATTACTCTTTCCTCCAGACAACCGTCCCCTCTCCATCTGTAAGTGCCCTCTCTCTGTTCTGTGGAAACTTGGGGAAGAAGTCAGTGAAACTTTCTATGGGAGACAAGATCCAAACAATGAATTATCATTCAAACCACCAATGAACACTGTACATGACCCTTCACGGTTCACCAAGAGCCTTCAAGGACACTTCTCTTTGGCGTCTGCTAACAGCTGGAGGGGAAGAAGTTATATGTGACCCCATTTAAGAGTTAGGGAAATAGAGACTGAAGAGGTCAAATGACTTGTTTGGTTAGGGCTGGCGACCCCACCTGGTTCATTCCAGAGCCCGGGGGTGGTGCTTACCGCTGGTCCCAGATGATGAGGTGAAAGAGGTACTTGGAGAAGTGAGCCCGCCGGGTCTGCAGGGGGCTGCACAGCTCCTTGCCACCATGGCTGAGGGAGCAGGAGAGGTAGAAGTCTTCATAGCTACCAGAGAAAGGGAGCAGGTCAGGGTGCTCAGCTCCCACACCCCACCTCAGTCACCCCACCTACTCCATTTCCCTTGGTGAAACTCCTCTGGGTCTCTGGGGACTGTAATGCGGGGTCACCGGATGGGACAGTCAGATTGGATTTGCAGAAGTGTGCTCTGGGAGAAGCAATTTCATCTGGGGCCCTCTGCCCAGTTTCAGGCTCCATGTTGGGCCATGGGTTTTCTCCTTTTCCCATGGGGCAGCAGCCATGCAACCTCCTCCTTCCAGCGAGCTTCAGCCCATGGGGTCGGGTGTGCATGTGTGCACATGCGCAGGTGAGGAGGGTGGGGGATGAAAATGACATCTGCCCACTTGAATGCCAGCACATGGGGGTCCCTGTGGCTCATGACAGGTGCCTGACAGCAGAGGTCAGAGAAGGCCCCAGTTTCCCAGGCTGCCTCCTTTGTTCTCTGCCAATCTCCTAGAGGAATACATTAAGTGAGGAACAAAGAGAGAAGGGGAGGGTGGGACAGGAGGGGTCCGGAAGGGGGTGGTTGGAGCCAAATGCCTATTCCCCCAGGCCTTGGATGCCGGGGACCCTGCAGAGGAGTTGAGGATTACCAAATGAAGGAGCCTCTCCACACCCACCACTGCAGGCCAGACAAAGGGTCACCTCCCACCTCCCCACCCCCTCCCATTGTGCATCTGCAGGGAGTGCAGTCATTGGCCGTGGGGCATGCACGGGATCTGGGAGGCAGCCATCTGTCACCAAGTCTCCATCAGCTGGCCTTGGACGGGAGGGGGCAGGGATGCCAATGCAGCCTGCACTGAGCCAGCACTAACAGGGAATGGCAGGTCTGCCCGACTCCGCCTCTTCTCCATTTCCTAGGAGACCTTTTCTCTCCTCCAGGACGTTCCAGCCCACGTCCCCCTCAGGCACCACGATGCCACCTGGAAGTCAAACTCTGCTCCTCCCTACAGACCATCAGCCCTGGGCTCACCTGGCAGCCCAGGTGATGGGAATGCGGTGGGTGGCGTAGACGGTGAAGGCCAGAGGCCCAGAGAAATGGCAGGCCTCCTGGACCAGATCATGCTTGCGGCTCCCGTGAACGGCCGTCTGGAAGTCCGCATTGAAGGTGCTGCAGTACAGCTCCACCAGGTCCAAGATGGCCGCTGTCAGGGCTTCCACGGCCTTCTCTGTGGAACGAGGGGTCAGGAGCAAGAGGCGTGAGGCCTCAGCAAGCCCCTCTGGTCGCCACTGCGCTGGCCAGGGTGGAATACCCGGGGAAACAGCCCCCAAATGCCAGTTGCTTTTCAAGTGGCCATGACCAAGCCCGCCCATCTGGGGTGAAATGAGAAAAACGCGGGAGCATGTCATAAGCTTCTCCTAAAATGAAAGATTAAATTTTAAACATTGTCCTTGTTTTTACATGCTGCAACGTGAGAAATGATAAATGTTCTTTCTTTTAGGAAATAGTGGGAACCGTAATAATTCGTTACTTTTAAAAAGTCATTGCTTGGCAAAGTAAAAGCGGAAAATTTCTATGTCGGTCTCCAAAATAATACTTTTTGGGACATTTTATTGGTCCATAAAAACCCAAAGGCTGGAAATCGCGAACCGAAAATCCCAGAATATGGGCTTTGGAGGGCAAAGTTTTGCTTGAAAGACTCAAGGGAGAATCCCGGTGAAAAATTCTTTATCTCCTCCCCAGACCCATCCTAACTCAGAAACGCAGGAGGTGTGAGAGACTCAGAGAATAATCACAGCCTCTCCCAGGGAGTTTTCCCATCTGGAACCCAGGGCTGACTTTGCGTTACCACCCCCACCCGCCCACTTACCCCACCTCGTCACCATCTCCCAGGGACACCACAGAAACAACTAGTAAAAATGATGAGAAAACATTCTGTGGAAAGGAAGGTGATCTCCAGCTGTGCCCATGCCTCATGCAAACACACACACGCACACGCACGCGCACACGCACGCGCACACGCACACAGGCAGGCCTGGACCCCGCAGTCAGGGGCCAGGAAGCACAAGGAATCTGGGCAGAGTCTGCGGTTGTTAGCTGCCCCTCCTGGACAACGGCCGAGAGCAGTTCCCTTACCTCGGTTTTCCCTCACAGCCAAGACGGTGGGGTCCTATGGGGGAAGAAGGAGAAGGAGGGGCGCTTCAGGGCCTCAGCCGTTTCCGGCACAGCTGGACGAAGGGCTTTTCACAGCTGTGCTCATTTGGACCAGACTCGACTGAAGTTTGAGGAGCAGAGATTCCTCGGGGAGGTCGAAGTAATGGTTTGTAGCAGATCCGTGTAATGGACAGAATGAGCCAGACCGAGGATAAAGTCACTGTGTCCACCCAGATGAGACACCGACTCTCAGGACACTCCACTACAGACCCAGTTCCCCTCGTGCTGGGCCTGGCTGCACCCCACACAACCTCCCACTGTGGGCTCGCGAAGCCCCTGGCCTGGGGAAGCTTTGCTCCTGCACCCTGATGCATACGCAAACTCCCAGGCAATACCTCAGTGACTGAGTAAAGCCTCTCCTGGTCTGGGCTCCCAGCAATCAGTCCCAGGGGGCAGACCCTAGCCCACCCTCAACCTCTGAAAGGGGAGACACGCTTGGTATCCATTTCCCAAGAAGTCTTCTGGTTAAACTATTCAGACATCAAAGATAGAGGTGGAGAGAAGAGCCTGTTAGTAGCTGGACAGCTAATTACCCCGTTGCCTGTGAATATTCCTCTCCTCCTTCCCCATGCTAGCCATCTGGGCCCCATTACCTTCTGAATTTTCGGCTGCACGCGGGAGGGGCAGGGGGGCAGCTGGTTGAGAGCGCTGGTGATCTCGGGGGTCTCCACGGCAGCCAGGGCGTTGCAGATGGCCTTGACGGACTGGACCACCCTGTCGGCCTTCAGCGGGAAGTCCCCCTGTGAGAGGAGGCACAGGGAGGCTGGCAGGCTAGCGCCTGGTGGAGGAACGGGCTGGGGGGACTGTGGGCTCATGACCCTCAGGAGTCACCAGTGGGATCCATGCTTCATTTTCAAACATCCAGTGTCGGTGAATGCGCCATGCCCACGTTCCCAGTTCTCTGAGCCTCCTCGCACTCCCAGCTACCGCCCAGCTACTGTACAGACACCCAGGGGAAGTAGCGAGGAGGCCAAAGAGACCACCCTGGGGCGCCACTTGCCCACACAGCCTTACTTCCCCTACGACCACCTAGAGAGCCTAGGCAGATCCCGTCTGGGTCGAGCCACACCCACTCCTTCCCCCTGCACTTGGGCTCCCGTCAGTCTCTCATCGGAATTCCCTTACCTGTTCCGCCCTGATTACCTACCTACATTCAAATCATGGACCAGCTAAAGGCCAGCCTCCTTCCCAGGCAAAGCCTTCCCTGGCCAGTCCTCCTCCACTCCTCTCCAAGAGCCCTTGAAGAACTCATCACCACCCTGTCCGTCTACCACTAGCTTTATGTTACTATTTCAGACCAGCCACTAAGAGGGGGCTGGACTCGTGCAGAAAAGGGGTTCAGAGAATGACCCCTCACAGGAAATATTCAAGCAGAGGCTGCCAGAGAAGGGACTGTAGCACTGGGGAGAGGTCTGAACTCCCCAAAAGGGAAGAGTCCATGACCACTGCTGATTGAATCATGAGACAAGGTTTTGAAGATTCCCTATCTGATTTTTGTTAGCTTCGTAATGTTTGGGACAAATGTTTATTATCATGGTTTCGAGGTTTCAAAACCTCTATGAATCCAAGTAAGGAGAGCCCTGGCCCTTCCCTGCCTCTGGGACCTTCCACATCCTCATGGTTTTCCATCTGTGACACCAGAACCTCAGAACTTCCCAAATCAGAGGTTCCTGGACATTCAGTGCCCACAGGACATGCTCCAGTGAACATCCAAGTACCACAGCTGGGTGACAACTCAATGCCCCTTAGCTTTGGAGATGCACTACTCCAGAGACAGGGTTCAGGACACGGTTCATGACCACGTCTACAAGGATCAGAACCCCTCTCCACACACTTGCCAGCTACCCAACAGCCAGCAGTCTTGGTTTGTCCATGAGCTAGCAGAATGAAAAGAAGTATTCTCCTGACAAATTTTCAATGTCTACTCTAGATCCCTTCTAGGGCTGGCTGATCCCAGGAGGACGGGGGGAGAGGTTGGAAGGAGCTTGGGGGCAGCTGGGCCACCCCAGGATCTGTACTTACATCAGCCAGTAGGAAGGCATCCACCTCATTGTGGTAAGTGTCAAACAGAAGACTCAGGGCCTGCCTAGGAAGGTGGGGGCAGGGAAAAGTCATAGGAGATGGCAGGACAGACACCCCCCCCCCATGTACTGTGCAACCCATTCTCTCCCCCCTTTTCCACAGCTCAGGAATCTGACCCTGGTTTAAAGGAGTTCCCACTCCCCCACATGTCCCATGAGGACTGAAGGGTGGCAAGTCCTTTACTCTGCCACCTCTCACATGGAGAAGGATGGCAAAGAAATGTAACACACCTGGAGTGGGCATCGACCCCATAACTCTTGGGTCCGATCCCCAACACCTGCCAAAAGCCCTGTCCCTGGCAGAAAGGCAAGCATGGGTGTCTGCTGGGTTCCCCTCGGAGTTCCTGCTTGGCCCAAATCCAACATGGCACCCCCTCTCACCTGCTGATGGTCTGTTTGACTGGCCTCTCTTGCAGATGGACAAGGTAGTTCAAAGAGGAGGGGCTCTGGTCATCATTCACCTGTGTAACAAGTGCCTTATTCAGGGAGGGGTGGTGCCTTCATCTCAACCCAGGGCTCCTACCCCACTCCCACTAACTGTGTTCCAAATTCCCTCTGCTCCCCCTGCTCCCCAACACGAACCGTCCGGGCCAGGTCGCTGCGTACAGATTTCTGCTCCATCAGCTGTAGACGAATGTCAATGTCAAACTTGCGGCAGTACTGAATGTACTCATGGCTGCCCAGGGCGTGCTTACTGGTGGGACAGAGGGACAAGACCATTAACATCCTGGGGACTCAGTGGGAGGGATGATGTAGACCTGAGCCTTGGGAAGAGAGACACAGGAGGACAGGGAGATGACCCAGAGCTAGTACTTGTGTTGTGCCTCCTACCTTGGCTCCTAGAAACGTCGTGGTAGAGCTTGGGGAAGGAATGGGTCTGTCTAAAGAAAAGCCACCTAAGACACTGGGAATACTTTCCCAGGTATTTATTATCTGTACTGTTATCGGTAGTTCACTCTGGGGTGGGAAGTTCTGGTGGGACGAGTAACAAGGGACTTCTTGGAGGGTAGTGTTTAAACCCCATTCCCTTGGCTTTGGTGTATGGGACATGCTGAAATTCAGCCTGTGCTCAGGGTTGGGCGTGGAGCTCAGTGAGTGACACTGTTCCCCTACTGAGGTCCTAGGTCTCCCACACCCTACTATTACCAACTAGGGTGTTGAGATCAACCCAGTAACCCAGCAAAATTCCAGGTCTGTTATCCCAACACCCATCAGAGGTCTGCTTCTGCCCTGGACGGGTAGCTTAGTTGATTAGAGTGTCCTGCTATGCCAAGGTTGTGAGTTTGATCCCCAGTCAGGGCACATACAAGAACCAACCAATGAATGCATACATAAGTAGAACAACAAATTGATGTTTCCCTCTCTCTTTCTTTCTTTCTCTCTCTCTTCCCCCACCCTCCACAAATCAATAAATAAAAAATTTTAAAAGTAAAAGGTCTGTTTCTCCCCTTCCTCTGTGGCTCCCGCCTGATTGTGAATAACTGTATAAATCTCTACAGACATCCTAACAGATACCTGCATGCATGCCATTCCCACTGCTCAAGAGACCCCACCCCACCCAGCCTCAGAGAAGGAGGCCTAGCAAGTCCCTCCATGATCCAGCCTCTTCCTCCTCCTACATCACACCTCAGTCAAAAAGGAAACCCAGAAGAGAGGCAGAGTGAGGCCCACCTGCAGCCAGCTCTGCAGGCCTGGGCTGGGTCCCAGGAGCTGAGGAACAGAGGCCGGAAAGGGACTTCCTTCCTCAGCAGAGCTGGGCCTCTAGGCCAGCAAGGGAGGAGAGAGGAAGGAGTGAAGGGGAGGGGTATATGCAGAGCCGACAGAGGTACCCAGGCCTGAGGCCAGTTAAAGTGAGGTTAGGATTTAAGGGGGTTTTCCACATCTTGAGGGGCCAAGCCTCTGTCTGACGTAGGCCCCAACCGGCTAAGCCTGAGCTGCAGCGAAAATCTAGGGCTGGAAAGACGGCCCTGGGGCAGGTCTGGTGGGAGTACCCTGGAAGGAAGGAAGAGTGTGGTGTGGTGGTGGGGTGGAGGTGGGGGGCAGGAAACCCAGCCCTCCCCAGAGACTGTCTCAGGGTTCTTATCTGAGAGCAGCCTGCATCCTGGACCCGACACTCTCCCTGGCATTGGCCCCTTCTGCTACGCTCAGATGGGAAACCACAGGGCTTCCTTGGGAGCTGGCAGCTTTCTGGAACCCCACGAGGGACCTTTCCACCCCACCCCAGGTAGCTGTCTTGTGCTGAGGGGTCTGGACTTTTCTGTTGGTGGGAAGGAAGAGGAGAGACTGGGTGGAGAAGGAGAGCTCCTGGACAAGAGTCGTGGACACAGGTCCTCTGGGGACTTGCTCGCCCTTCTCTACGGAAGGCCTCCCATGTGTGCATTCGCGTTAGAGTGGGAGAGGCATGACCCAGGACCATCGAGCCTGTTCCCCCTCGCCCTGAGCACGCCACCTGGGTCTTGGCAGGAAGTTAGAACTTGACAGCTTATCTACCACCTCTGGACTCAAAGACGAGGGGACCAACAAGGGAAATCAAACAGTATCCATCTGATCTGATCCCCACGAGTTCCTCTCTTTGGACCAGTCCTTCCCTGCTAAGACTTCCTGGTGGCTCACTGGGTCATCCTCACATCCAACCCTCACTACATTTTGTGGAAGAAACTGTGGGTCAGCATTTCACAACTAGGAAGTGCAAGTCAGAACCCAAACCAGCCACACTGATGTGACCTGCTCTGTCCCTTGTCCCCTTAGGACAGTGGCCGGCTGCCCAGGCTGCTCTCTAGGACCCCTCTCATTTCTCCAGGGGAAACCAAGGACACCGTGAACCCTCTCAGCAGCATTCCCTGGAGTTGTGCTGAGTGGGACCAACCCCTTTCCTTTCCCAGTTGAAGGCACAGAGACCAGAAAGGGCCCACACATCCCTCAGGTTATAAAAACCAGCTGAGAACTGCTCTAGCCATAGACCAACCATCCTTGCATCTAAACCTGGATATAAGAGAAAGGGCTGTCCTGGCCGGTTTGGCTCAGCGGTCGGAGAGTCGGCCCACGGACCAGAGAGTCCCGGATTCGGTTCCCACTAAGGGCACGTACCTCGGTTGCAGTTTGTCCCCAACTCGGTTGGGGTCATGTGGGTGGCAGCCACTCGATGTGTCTCTCTCACATCAATGTTTCTCTCTCTCTCTTCCTCCCTCTCTCCCTCCTGCTCTATCTGAACGTAAGTGCAAAAATGTTCTTGGATCGGGATTAAAAAAAAAGAAAAAGGAAAGAGCAACTGGTGGCACCGAGAGGTTCTCCTAAAAACTACGACACGGCTCCTTGTTCCCCACCCCCAAGGCCTGCTTTCGTGGGCAAGATGCCACTGGGAGCCTGGGGAGGACAGCAGACCTCTGTGCCCCCGAGGGTGTAATTCCCCCTCTCCAGCCAGAATCCAGGGTCCTAGGGAAGTGGAGGGGACTGCCACCGCCACAGCAGCCTGTCCGGAGGCTCCTGCTGCACAGGGCGCGGGGAGAGGGCTGGCAGACAGCCCCGTGAGGAGGCTAACCAGCAGCACACCCAGCGGGGAAAGGCTTGCTGGCAGGGGCGGGGGAAGAGAGCAACTGTGATTTCTCCCCCGGGTTCCGCTGGGCACCTCTGCCCAGTCCTTCTTCTGCTTCTTGCTATAAGGGCACCTCCCATAATCTAGGGCAGGAGGAAAGCCACACAGTCTCCCCACCATGTCTCACACCTCTCTCCACATGCAGGAGTCTGCAAGCAGATATGACTGAGCCTGCCTAATCCCCGCTCCAAGCTCTTTCCACAGATTTGGCTCAGGAAGCGGCCAGCCCTGCTGGAAGACGGGGCTCCTGGAAAGTGCGACGTGGCTGAGAGAGCTGGAAAGCAGAGTCCGGCGTGGGGCTGTGGGGAGGCCGCCAGCCCCAGGCCCGGAGCCCAGCGCCTCCCGAGGAAGCCCCGACAAGCCTGAGACCCAGGGGGTGCGCATCCTAGCCCCTCCAGTTCACTCACTTCTGCAGGAACTCCTCCAGCCCACAGGGCTTCAGCACAAAGTCATCCACATCCACACCCCGCAGTTCATCATGGGTGTAGCACAAGGTCTGGTAGATGAGCAAGTCCACAGTGGAGGAACCTGTAGGGGAGGGGGCAGGGCAGCAATGATGGGGGTGTCGGGGTAGGCGGGGCTCAGCACCTACCCTGATCCCCTATTCCCAGCTGAGCGTGATCCAGCACTCTCACCAACCAGACAAAGCGGCTTAGGGTTGGAGGAAGAGACCGTGGAACTAGAAGCTGGCTCCAGAGCCAGCCTCCCAGAGGAGCTTCCTTACTGCCCATTAACCAGGCCACACCACGGGGTGGGAACCAAGGCCAAAGGATCTCACCCCACTTCCAGGTAGGCTCGCCCTCCTCCCCCTAACTTACAGTTGCAGGTAAAAGTGAGTGGCTCCCGCAGGCTGTCACACAACACTGTCACCTTCAGGTTGACCTCATCCCCAAGGTGCTCTGGGCTCGTGGTGACGGCACTCCAGACATATCCAGTGAGGAAGTAGTCTTGGATAGTGGAGCCAGATCGAAGGCTGTGCAGGAAGAGAGGGAGAAGGACCCTCGCTGTGCCTTCAGAAGAGAGCAGTCGAGAAGAGGCCTGCTGGGACCCTCCCGCCCTGAGGCCCACGGGCCCCTCTGTCCCCAGTCAGCCTGGCCCTCTGCAGTCCAGGATGCGGGCCGGGGGAAGCAGCTCTGGGAACCGTGTTGTTGATACATTTGCTACAGTTGCACAATGTTCCCCAGGTGGACAGTAGGGGTAGTTCTGAGCTGACGCGCTGAGTGCCATGGGCCATGGAAAGGTTTCCTGAGTCCACTTCCTTTCTCATCCAGCTCCAGATAGCTCTTATCTCATGGGGGGGGGGGGGGGTTGCTCCTCAGGGTGACCAGCATAAAGCAACTGGAGTAATTTGACTGTTAATTCGAGGCTTTCTAAATTTTGTCACATCTAGGAAACTCCTAAGGTGCCTCCATCTCAAAAAGCTCGCAAACACCCTTTATAGGAAGCATCCCACAGCTCTGGGTCAAGATATATTAAATGTGGTTCTTCTTTCTTCCTAGAAAAAGGTGACCCTCCTCCCCAGCCCCCACAACCCTTCACAACCCCCATTCGTGAACTCTTACATATCCAGCATGTGGCAAAATGCAGCAACTTCCTCGTCTCTCTCCTCTGAGACCTCGAACAACTCATGGCCATTGGCGACGGCGTGGGGCCGGGAGACCACCTTTGAGAGAAGAGCAGCTGACTCAGAGCCTTTCCCCTCGTGGCACCGCCCACACACTGCTCCCAGATCTAAACCATCAAACTCTACCTAGGCGTTCAACATTCAGTGAAGGGGGCACAAGACAATATGGAAAATCCTGGAATATATTTATCTGCTATCCTAGGATATCAAGAGCCAACTTGAAAGAGAGAACGTGATGCTCTAAGTCCAGAAGCCTAGGTAGAATGAACAAGAGTCTGGCCAGATCTCCAGAGAGGGCGGTTTCTAATAAGCTCAATGCAGTGGGGGGTGGGGGGGGGTGGGGGGGGGTTCACGGCACTGCTGCGCCTCTGGGCTGGCTTTCTGGGGGTGCTCCCAGAGGCTGGCAGGGGGCTGGGCTGTTGTTCCCGTCCCACCATGGAGGCCAGGAGAAGGGTTGCCCAAACAGTCCCCAGGAAAGCCGGGCCATGGGCAAAAGCCTCAACATCCACAGTAAGCTCTGGGGACCCAAAATAGAGAAGACTGAGAGCCCTTAGACAGAGACAAAGACAGACACACATGCCTTCTCGGTCAACACTGTTTGAGGGAGAAAGTGTCAGGGTAGCTTTCTGGCTAGCAGAGGACCTGGTAGGAGGCTTAGCTCCTCCTGACTCCCAGCTCTTCCGGATCTGGACAGCTACAATGCCAGGGAACCTGCCTGAGCCCCACTTCCTGTCCAAGACATGTGTGGCGGTGGGAATTTTCTCAGACAAGACCTAACTGACTCCTGCAGTCACAGGCTTTCATTCACCCATGACGAGTGCTAAAAAAGCCCTCTGGCTAGGTCTGCAGCCCAGCCCCCAGAGCAGGAAGTAGGGGAGCTGGTGCATGACAGGTTTCTGCCTGAGGGGCCTGCCCACAGCCACCAGGCGAGGCCACCCCAAGCGAATGAAGCTGCATCTGGGATGGAGTGGCCGCAGTAGGTGCCAACACCTGCTTCCGGGAAGCCCAAAGCTTGGTGCACACACAGCAATGCCTCCCCTCTCACCCTGCCTCTGGCTAATCTCATGCCCTCCCCAGCCCTCAGGCGAATGGCAGCACTGAGCTCATTTCAATATCCAGTTTCCTCTGAGTGACCCTCTCCTGTTAGCCTTGCTCCCCTGGGTGAACAGGGAGGGGGTGCAGAGTGGGGTGGGCAGCAGTGAGGGCAGCTGGCATGTGAGGCCCTGGCTCTGCCAAGTTTGTGCCTGGGTCCTGGTCAAAACAATAATACCATTGTCAGCAATTAACCCATAAAAGCAAGAGCAAGAAAGAGACAGAACAACAGAACGAGACAGAGGAACAGAAACAGATACAGAGAAATAGAGACAGAGAGAAGAGAGGAAGGCAGAGACCAGAGTAGCTCCTGAAGGCCATTTTCATGCCCTTTCAGTGCCACTCCCTGGCTCCGTAAGAAAACAAAGCCACTTACGTTCACCCTGCTGGCAGGCCCCGGAGGCATCCCTCGGTGCTGGCTGGGGCAGTCTGCCAGGCACAGGCTGGCAGCAGGGGTACCAAGCTGGCACTTGGAGCCAACCATTTCCAGAGCTGGCTCCACAGGCCTGGGACAAGGAGGGTCCCTCTGGCTGGAAGCCCGGTGAAGGCGGGGAGGTGGTACAGGCCGAGGGCCTGAGGGGTCCCCCCGCCTGGTAGGATGGGTCCCTGCACCAAGTTGAGGTGGTGAAGACCAGGGCCGCATTTCCCCACTAAGAATGGGCAAGAGCGTGTGCTCTGCCCTAGCTTCTTCAGGGAGCCCCTGGACCGGGCTCCCTCTCAGAACTCTGAAGCAAGCAGGGGATGAGGGGCAGGGGGGAGGAATGGAGGAGCAGGAGAGGGAGCGACAGAGGTGACCACCTACCAGGGTGGCTGGACCAGGCGAGCAGGCCCAACTCTGTGAAAGGAACTCAGAACTGGGAACAGGACTCTCCCTGTCCCTATAAATAGCAGGAGCAGCCCCACCTCTCAGAGCAGGGCCTTTAAAAAGCCCTGAGCTCTAGAGCTGTCACTTATCCCAGGAGCTGATGTGACTTCAGGGGCTCCATTAGCAGAAGCACAGGAAGGAAGGACCATGTGCTTTCCCAGAGTTGAAAAGGATCCCAATTGCTAGGACACACAGTGGGGAAGCCCCGGTCTCTCAGACAATGTATAAGGAGAAACCAGGGATGGAATGAAGTGGAATGCTCTTCCTACAGAAGCCATCAGCCACGAAGGTGCCTCCTGACCCCTTCCGGAGCAGGGCTTCCATGGCCCAGGGAGAAACACAAAGCATCTTCCAGTCCTACCCATGGGGATGCTGCCGGCACATCCTTAAAGATCAAAGCTGCCCTGGAACCAACCACATGCTTTTGTGTAAATACTTTGCTATTTTATATTATGTACTTATAAAAATGAAATTATTATTGTCATACTACAGGATTTTTCTAAATATTTTCAATGTGAAAAGAGATGGATGGGGGTGATAGTTGCAGAACAATGGGAATGTACTTCACACCACTGCACTACATACTTATGCTTGGTTAAGACAGTAATGTAATGTTATGTATATTTTACCATAATAAAAGAGAGACAGAGAGAGAAAAAGACAGGGAGAAAGAGGACAGGAAGATAGACACTGAAAAACAGAGAGAGAGAGAGAGAGAGAGAGAGAGAGAGAGAGAGAACAACAGAAGGAAAGAGAGACAGAGGAAAGAGGGAGAAAAAGGAGAGAGACAGAGGGAGAAAGACAGAAAGAGACACAGAGAGAGAGAGATAGTGAGAGAGAAACAGAGAGACACACACAGAGAGAAAGAGAGACAAAGATAGAGAGAAAGAGAGAGAACAAGCCAGCTTTGGAATAAGAGACCAGGGCTGTGTGCCTTGGACCATCAGGCAGGGCTGCGGAGGGGCCTGGACCAGGGTCTGGTATTCGGTGATCACTAAACAATGGTTAATATGAGGATTGAGCCTCATCATCATGCAGCATTTTTGGCAAAGGGAAAAGCAGAAGCAACTTACTCCAGTCCATAAGGCCATTGGGACATAGAGTCAACAATGAGTCCCACAACCCCAGTTATGTCCTCACATTCTGAAGCAGGCACACACTAGGAACTAGGACTTTGAAATGCCTGCTCCCAGAAGATACACAAGATACACAAAACTCATCCCTGGAAAGGAGCCATGCCTCTAGGTGTCACTTTTCCTCTCCCTCAACAGGACCCGGGGGCCCATGACAGAAGCAGTGGTGAGGAGAGGACTAAAGGGATGAGTATGTGGCCAATTTGTAACAGCAAAGAAGAAAGAAGGACTATTCTGCTTCTGAAGACATGAGAAAAGGAAGACAGAAGAAACGCAGTGATTTCCTCACCGAAGCTGCCGAAATCCGGTGGTTCTTGCCAGGTGTTCCATTTTTCCGGTTGGCATAGCGAGAGACATAGGTCCGCGGAGGGACCTGGGGGGGCATGGTCTTGCTCCGGGCCACGGGTTTCCCAGGAATGTCCTTGCTGAAGTCCAGGGGCCTCCGGCCCTCCTTCCAGCCTCGGGTGGCATCCTGCACCATCTCTGCATCGTAGGTTGACTTCAAGTTGAGCCGTGTAATCGCATCATTGATGCCATCGTAGTCCACAGATCCCAGCAGGCACCCACCCCCACCTCTTGGCTCCTCTTCTAGGATCTGATGCCCTAGCAATTTGCCTAGAGGCTGTTCAACCAAAGAAAAGGTGTTGATGTCATTGGGCTGGGAGATCTTGGAGGACGATGGGGACCCCTTCCTGGGAGGTAGGGGAGGGGTATCCCAGATAGAGACTCGAGGAGGCAGAGGAGGCGGGGACAGTTTCTTAGAAGAGCCATCGACATCCCCCGGTCTTGGGGACAAAGAGAGCTCCCCATCTGAACCATCAAAAATGTAGAGATAATCTCCAGCCAGGGAGCCTTTGGGCCAGGGATCTGGGCCAGGCTGGGAGCCCTGGGAGGTAGAGTGGTTGGGCAGCTCCTCCTGTGGGGAGAGCGAGTTGTAATTGAGGGTAGGATCAGAGCCAGAAAGACCGCGTAAGAGCTTGAGGTCATTCTGCCTTCCTGCTGGCTTGCTGTAGAAGTCCAGGGCTGGCTCGTCCCAGTTGATGAGAGAGGGGTCTGTGTTCTGCTTGGTTCTGTTCTCCTCCTTGTCATGCCGGAGCCGGGACAGAGCATCATACTCCATCTGTAGGGCTTCAGCCATGGCCAGCTCTTTGCGGCTGATGCCCACTGATTCCAGGGACGTCCAGTGTTCCCCATTGCCCTGAGTCGACGACATAGTGAGGATGGGTATGGAGGAGACAAGGAAGCCTGTTACTTCCTGCCAAAGTCAGGTCTGCAGGGTTGTGGCATGGTGTCTGGGCACCTGCAGGTGAGGGGTAAAAATATCAATCATTCAGTCACAAAGAGAGATGTATTAATCATCTGACTTAGGTGACATCATCTGGGCCTGTTTCTTAATTGCCTACAGCAGATGGAAAGAAACAGAAAGGTGGGGGGGGGGGGGGGAGATACCAAGACAACTTTATCTGTCCATTACAGCCATTCACCCTTCCGTTCATCTATACACGTCTGCACCTCCAGTCCCTGACTTCCCATTCTCATCTCTCACACGGACCCAGAGGAAAAGAGGCATCAGCCAAGAGGAGAAACAGAAACAAGGGCTCCTCAGTCAGTGTAGAGGGGACAGCTCTCAGCAGCTGCTGCTGGGGACTGTGAAATGGTACTGCCACTTTACAACAAAGGCGGCTTCTTGAACAGGTAAACATCCACCTACCATATGACTCACTATCCCTCTCACAGTTACTTGCCAGGAAAATGAAAGCACAGCCCGACCTGTGTGGCTCTGTGGATTGGGCATCCTCCCATGGACTGAGAGATCCTAGTTCAATTCCTGGCCAGGGTATATGCCCAGGTTTCGGGCTGGGTCCCCAGTAGTGGGTGTGCAGGAGGCAGCTAATCCATGTTTCTCTCTCACATCAATGTTTCTCTCTCTCTCCCCTCCTCTCTCTCCAAAAAATCAATTAAAAATATTTTTACAAAAAAGAGAGAAATAAAATGAAAACACGTGTCCACACAAAGATTTATACATGAATATTCATAGCAGTCTTACGTGAAATATCTAAAAATCGGAAACAACCCAAATGTCCACAAATAGGTGAATAGATTTTTAAAAATGTGATGTGTCCACAGAATTGACTATTACTCAGCAACAGAAAGGAATGAATTAATGACACATGCAATATCCAGATGAATCTCATAATAACTTCACTGAGTGCAACAAGCCAGACAAAAGAGTATGAGTATGTAGGATTCCATTTATATAAAACTCTGGAAAAAGAAAACTAACCTACAGTGACAGAAAGCAGGTCAGTGGGTATCTGGGAGGGCTGGAAAGAAGGATGTATTACCAAGGAGCAGAAGGGAACTTTTGAGGATGATGAACATGCTCATTATCTAGACCGTGGCAATGGTTTCACATATGTCAGGACTTCTCAAACTGTATCCTTCAAGTATGTACAGTTTATTGTATGTCAATTATACCTCAATAAAGCTATAAATGAAGAGTACAATAGAATGCTATGAAACAAAACTTATAACTACTCATATTGTACAAGAATCCTCCCAAAATACACCCATGTGAGCAATTAAACAAAGACTTCCAAGGGTGAGACCCAGGTGCCTGATGGAATACAGTTGTGCCAAAAGATCGACTTCTCCAAGGCCATTCGGGAAACCAGGCAAAAAGGCAGGCCCTCCAGGCCAGCTGCCTCTAGCTGCCAGCAGCCCCTTCATTTGCCGCAGTGGTGGCATCCTTTGCCTTAGAAACCATGGCATGAAAGAGACACTGAGCAAACGGCTGTCCTGACGAGGTTAGCCTGGCCCCGCACTTCTCAACCCCGACTGCACGTTAGAAACATTGTGAGAACTTTCTAAAAGTATAGTCCTGATGCCGTGTTCTCCCAAGGGATTCTGATTTAATTGGTCTGCAGTAGGGCACTGGTGTTTTTAAAACTCCCCAGGAGCCCTGGCCGGTCTGGCTCAGCAGTTAGAACATCTGCCAGCGGAATGAAGGGTCTCAGGTTTAATTCCCGGTCAAGGGCACGTACCTGGTTGCAAGTTCAATCCCTGGCTCCAGTTGGGGTCGTGTGGGAGGCAACCAATCGATGTGTTTCTCTCACATCGATGTTTCTCTCTCTCTCTCTCCTTCCCTCCTTTTCTCCCTCCCTTCCATTCTCTAAAAATTAATGGGAAAAACATCCTCGAGTGAGGATTAACAAAAACAAACAAACAACAACAGCAACAAAACTCCCAGGAGATTCTAGTCTGTAGCTGAAGCTGAGAACCACGGGGCCTATGTGTGCACAGTAAGTCCTCAACGTATTGACAGGTTCTCGGGAACTGAGAGTTTAAATGAAACAACATATAATAAAACCAATTTCACCACAGGCTAATTGATATAAACAAGAGTTAAGTTCCTGGGGCACATTTATGGTAACAAAAACATCACCAAACTTCAAACTAAAGACCCAAAACATTTCTAATATTAAACATTGAAATAAACGTGAACTATCCATACATTTAAGAAAGGTGAATGAGCCCTGGCCAGTTTGGCTCAGCGGTTAGAGCGTCGGCCTGCGGTCCGGAGAGACCCGGGTTCGGTTTCCGCTAAGGGCACGTATCTTGGTTGCAGTTTGTCCCCGGCCCTGGTCAGTCGTGCAGGTGGCGACCACTCGATGTGTCCCTTTCACATCGATGTTTCTCACTCTCTTCCTCTCTCTCCCTCCCACTCTACCTGAACAAAAAATGGAAAAATGTCCTTGGGTGAGGATAAAAAAAAAGAAAGGTGAATGAAAACAAGGTAATTATTTTCCAACTCGATTACTCCAGTTCAGGGTCATGGGTGACTGGAGCCTCTCCCAGCAGCTCAGGGTGAAAGTGGAACCCCACCCAGGACAGGATGCCTTTCCATTGCAACGTCACTCACACTAAACCACTAACTTAGACTAGGACAACGTAGACAGGCCAGTGCATCTAACGGTCACATGTTCGGGATGTGGGCGAGAACTGGAGTACTAGGCAGACATGGGGAGAACATGCGAACTCCGGACAGCGGCCCCCGCCAGGAGTCAATTTTATCTTTTCATCAGTGTTATAACAAAATGATATTCGAGAACTTGCTGTATGTGTGTCTTAGATGAGCTTGGGGGAGGTAAGTGTGAAGTGGTCACATCTGACCCTTAGCACCAGCAGCTAAGAAGTTCACAATTTCATTAAATTATCAAAAATTGTACATTCTCCCCACTGGTGTGGCTCAGTGGATTGAGCATTGGTCCGAGCACCAGGAGGTTGCCAGTTCAATTCCTGGTCCAGGCACATGCCCAGGCTGCAGGTTCGATCCCCAGTAGGGGGCGTGCAGGAGGCAGTCGATAGATGTCACTCATAGATCCTTCCATCTCTCTCCCTCTCCCTTCCGCTCTCTGAAATCAATAAAAAAAAATGTGTTTTTAGTTTGTATATTCTATTGTACTGCTTTATGCAGCAGATAATAAATATATGAGGTATGTTCTTCCTCTGGATTAGAAAGTTAAAAACATCAACAGGAAAAAGATCCATATAGATTATTGGTCACAAGTTCCATCAGATCCCAAATGAATTAGCAAACAACAAAAAAGAAAGCAAAATGAGTTAGGAAAAGGATGTACCTTAACCTAAGGTCTCCCACCTACCCCAGAACCCCATGCATCTGTCAGGCACAGGCAAAGAACACTGAAGGCCCAGGGCTGGCTCAGCGAATTTTAGGAAGTAGTTTCTCAAAGCTGAATTAGCCCAAGCCTGTCCTCAAGCACACAGATTTCTCTGCCTATGGAGTTTCTTCACCCTTCAACAGCTTCTTAGAGATTATTATTGTTATTATTGTGAAATATATTTTCACTGATTTTTAGAGAGAGAAACATTGATGTGAGAGAGAAACATCAACTGGCTGCCTCCCCCATGGACCCCAACAGATCAAGCCCGCACCCCAGGCATGTGCCCAACTGGGCATCAAACCAGTGACCCTTCAGTGCAGGGGATGATGCCCAATCAACTGAGCCACACCAGCCAGGGCCTTATAGATTATTTTTCATCTACAGAGGGTAAGAAGCAGTCCCGTCCCCCCACCCCCAGAGAGAGGGAGGGAGCGAGGGGGAGAGAGAGCAAAACATTGATGTGAGACAACCGGTTGCCTCCCACACATGCCCCGACCAGGGCAAAGGGTCCCTGGGCCAACGCTCTAACCACTGAACCACACCGACCAAGGCAAGAGGCAGTCTTTCTATTTGAAATTCAAAGGAATTAGGTGACCAGATAAAGATGACCAGAAAGAACAGAGCTGCCCAGAGCTGGGAAACTGGTTCCAGAGAAAGGAGGTTCCAAGTGCTTTAGCTACGAGACACTAGATAAATGTCCGAGTTGGACTGCGTTTACGCCTTTCAATCCAGACTGGATTTTCAGCTCTGAGCTGGGACAAGCAGAAGAGTAAGAGTTGTTGGCTGTGGCCAGGTAGCTCAGCTGGTTAGAGCATCACCCCCATATGCCAAAGTTGTGGGTTCGATCTCCGGTCAGGGCACATACAAGAATCAACCAATGAATGAATAAATAAGTGGAACAACAAATTGATGTTTCTCTCTCTCTCTCTAAAAACCAATAAATAAAAATAAAAAAGAACAGTAGGGGTTGCCTTAGCCAGACACCATTGTGAAGAAAACACTAGAACGAATCTCAATGTCCTCGTTGAACCCTCATCGTCTCTCACCTGGGCTACAGGACAATAGCCTCTAAGAGTTCTCCCTCTACTGACCTTTCCCTCTCGAAGGCTTTCTCCACAGAGCAGCCAGGGCTCCTTTCTGGGGTGCAAATCTGATCATCTACTCCCAGGTTAAACCCCTTCAAAGGCCCTCTGTCTGATTCCTTTACACGGTCTATCACGGCCAGCATCTCCCTCTCATCTCCAACCATTCATTACCAAGTATTTGACACCTCCGTGATTCTGTCTCTGCTCCTGGGTGTGTCCTTCCCAACACTCTTTGCCTGACTCCAACTTGCCCTTCTCAGGCTTGGCTCAGATTATCATGTTCTTCCGAAAGCCTTCTCTGAACCCCAGATCGAACTAAGGGCTCCTTCTCTATGCTCCCAATAGCAACCTGTACATATCTCATAGTCTTAAAATATTTTATTCAAAATTAGAGGGGTATGGATCTGTCACTCCCACTAAGCTCCTCAAGTTCCAAATTCATT